GCGGTTTTCATATGGACAGATTTTTTTTAGCCGCCTAAAACAACATTCTTATCACCTCCACCTTCCCATAAACACCCCCATTTCTCATGCAGGAAAATCGTGCACTTCCTGGCGCTGGTGTGGGTGCTCTACACCATGATAGTCTTTCTGCTGTTCTATGCCTTCCCGGTGACCATGGAAAGTCTCAACTGAGCTCCAGTGGCCGTCGCAGCATGGATCACCATCTCTTCACTCTTCAACCCCTTTTCTGTTTAAACCCCTCTCGACCACTTTGTGCCCCTGCCCCTGCCCCCCCCCACACCCATTCCCCCGCAGGAAAATCGTGCATTTCCTGGCGCTGGTGTGGGTGCTCTACACCATGATAGTCTTTCTGCTGCCCTACGCCTTCCCTGTCACGGTCGAGAACCTCAACTGGGCGCCAGTGGCCATTGCAGCGAGGATCCGCAGCTCTTACCTCTCCAACCCCCGTCCCTTGGACCCCTCCCAACCTCTTTGTGCCCCTCCCAATTCGTATTGCCTGTGCCCCTACTCCCCCCCCCCCCTCCTCCCCACATTCTTTCCCTCTCTCACTCGCAGGAAAATCGTGCATTTCCTGGCGCTGGTGTGGGTGCTCTACACCATGATAGTCTTTCTGCTGCCCTACGCCTTCCCTGTCACGGTCGAGAATCTCAACTGGGCTCCAGTGGCCATTGCGGTGTGGGTCACCATCTTTGTCACGTGGTGGATTGTGCATGCTCGCTTCTGGTTCAAGGGGCCGGTTCGGGAGATTGTTCCGATCACGGAGGAGAACGGCGGGGAGAAAGAGGCCGAGGGAAAGATGGAATAAGAGAGGGTGGTTGGCTTTAGGTGGTGTGTGCAGACAAGTTTCATCTAGGGTGGTGGTGTGTAGTTTTTATATTTATTGCCATGCTGTGTAGATAGTGAGGACTTTCCATACTCATCACAGGGTTTTTGGACGAGATCTGGATTCATGGAGACTGCCTCAGCTTAAACATTCATAAAGAAGCAGTAGATCAGTTTCGCAATCTTATGCAACTTTACTCTTTTCATAGAATGAAGGCGTCTAAATCTAAGTTCAGTCACTAACTGTCCAAGCGGAGATTCACTAACAGGTCATCAACGCTAACCTTCTACGAGCGTATTCTGTAAGAACAGGTTTCTTTTTGTATGTGCAGAGGTCCGCTCGGTTCATGCGGCAGTGTTTTGCATCAACGATTTTCATGCACTGTGCTGTGCCACGAGGACCCCAGCTATACACATGCTTGGCGTCGCCGCTGTGTCACGCCGAACATCTCCCGGCATGAAACTGCTCTCTAAATAGGTCCTCCTAGATTGAGTCAACCTCCCCCCACCGCAACATTCTCTCGACCTGCTGCATGAAATCCGAGCCTCAGGTCAAGGCTTGTTTTGCGTCATTCTCGGTCGTTTCCCTGCCTGAAATGGGACCAAGCTGTTCTGCACTGCTGCTGACTCAGGCAGGGTGTTTCCCTGAACTGTAGGCCCGTCCGAGCTGTCATTGATCCGTCCACACATCCATCCAGCCAGAGTCTCTCTCCACTCCACCTGACCTGTAGTTTTCTTCCTCCCTCCTCCGCCTTGATCCAGTTTGCCCTACTGTTGACTTCGAGAATAGCCAGATTCTTGCAATCCCTGGCGCAGCAATCCGCCCCACCGACCTGCCAGCCGGTCCTATGGGCCCAAAATATGATCGACGAGTCGCGGATTTCTCGAAGCCAATGTGCGGCTTGAGCAAACAGGCTGGCCAATGGCCACAGACGAATTCGTCCCCTCCCCCCAGCCCCCCCCCCACACACCTCGGTCCCTCCAACCAACCCCCCTTCCTCACACTTTTGGCCTTCTGCATCTGAACATAAAATATCTTCCCCCAACTAACCCCCAACATCCTACCCATCCCATCCCCTCCCGTTCTAAAATTTTCTGGTTTGCTCCGTGAACAACCCAAACCCGTGTGTTCCCGCCAATATCCCCTCCGCTCCCCACACCTGCCTTCCCCCGCCTTCTCGAGGGTGACCTCGCTCAGCCAGATTCCATCCCATCTGCACTAACAGGTGGTAACATGAACACATCGCTTATGGAAAGTCTGGTGGGTTAATAGCAGCGCAGCGAACTAAGAACCGCAGTTGAGCTCCAGCACCATCCCGAGAACTGCTAGGGTGTACCGACCGCAGACCCTTGGATTTCGAAGCTGGCTTTGACCCTGATATTCGTGGGCAGACCGTTCCTCTTCACCTTCTCTTTCTCTTGAGAAATCTTTCCCAACCGTTTCTGTGGGATGTTTATATGACGAGTCATGCCTTCCCTAACTGCTTAGAACGTTGAGAACACGCTATGAAATGCTTAATATCGCACACCACCGCAACAACTGAACTAGCTCGCCTCCCCTGACTTCCGCTTCCACGTTCTCGTATCCACCGAGAGGAGCTCGTTTTCGGTTCATGTACCGATTTTCAAACTGGTTAGCAGTACAAAGCAGTGCATGTATGTATCGTTCTCAGCTGCGTTTTCCAGAGCAAAATATCGCGACATGCCGAGTGCAAGCTGACAAGAGCTTACTATTTTCATCCTCCTTGACTTGCAAAAACTTCATGCTGATGTGCATGATCATCGTATGCAGAACTTGTTGAGTGGAAGCTTCTTTCTTGCCCCGAATTGCTGTGCAAGGAGGAGTCCGTGGCGCGAAAAATCTTGATTTCAGAATCCGAATTTGCGCTCTTGTTTCTTTGCTGGGAACTGCTACTAGTTTAGGGTGTTCGTGTCGCATCATCGTTTACCCGTCTCCAAGAAAATCCCGACTCATAGGGGCCGTGCAACATGTCTTATCTAAAGCCGTCTCAAAATAAGAATCTCCAGCTTTTGAACACGCCGATACGGTTCTCAGCTAGCTCATAATCCCGAGGGATACGCTGTCCGCTTTCTTGCAAAGAATATTTTCTAGGACTATTTTCTGATAGGAGTACCAGAGCTGGTTAAGACCAATACCTCTCCGCCGCGCCACGTACTTTAGTAGTAGTAAGTAGGGCTGCCTCGCTTCAAACTCCTCGCCGTGTCGTTGACGCTGTGCTGGCGAAAATGGTCGCAATACCAGCGGTAGCTGCTGATTCATGCGACGAGATAGAAGCGTCGCCCGGCGACAGTTGCGGAGCGACGAAACAGTGCCACTACTACGACGCGTGCGACCCCCACGCGACAGATTCCACAATCGGCGACGGCCGTCGTGCTATGGCTGACGTGGACCACGACGGCGACGACGAACCTTCGCAGAACCTTCCGCCGGAGGGCGAGGAAATGAAGCTGTACACGGAGGCGTCCGCGTTTGAAGGCGCCTCGATAGTGGCAATGATTCAGCGGCTCGACGAGGAGGTGGGAACCGAGCAGAAGATCCTTCAGATCACCATGGAGGACGGAATCACGCTCTCCGTCGAACTAGATCCCGCTGAGAAACGCCTGAACGAGCTGGGTTACCGACAGGAGCTCCGCCGCTCCCTCGTGAGTTCTGGGTGCTCCCTTCTCGCTATGATTGTGCAGACCACCAGAGGACATGGTTGCGCTCTCCGTGGAATTCGTTCCCGCTGAGAAGCGCCTGAACGAGCTCGGATACCGGCAGGAGCTCCGAAGATGTCTGGTGAGTTCATCTCCCATCTCCCACTTCCCATCTCCCACCTCCCACCTTCCACCTCCCACCTTCCACCTCCCATCTCCCACCTCCCACCTCCCACCTCCCACCTTCCACCTCCCATCTCCCACCTCCCATCTCCCATCTCCCATCTCCCACCTCCCATCTCCCATCTCCCATCTCCCATCTCCCATCTCCCACCTCCCATCTCCCATCTCCCATCTCCCATCTCCCATCTCCCATCTCCCACCTCCCACCTCCCACCTCCCATCTCTCCTCTCACTCGCTCTTCCCCACTTCTACCTTCCCCCTCTGCTGCAGGCAAGGGTTTATCAACGGCGGCCCAGCAGGGGTCATCTGGTACTGGTGGATCACAGCCGTTGCTGTGCACCTCAGTCACCTTATTGCACCGCACTGCACTCTCTCCCTCTCCCCTGTACCAACAGACAAGGCTTTATCAACGGTGGCCCAGCAGGGCTCATCTGGTACTGGTGGATCACAGCCGTCTTCCCTCCCTTCACCCTTTCCTATATCCTTCCCTCCCATTCCTCCCCCCCCACACTTGCTCTTCTCACTCTCTCCCTTCTATTTCCCACCATCACCTCCCCCCTGCAGCCAGGGGTTCATCAACGGGGGGCCAGCAGGGCTCATCTGGTACTGGTGGATCACAGCCCTCTTTGTACACCTTATAGGCCTCTCCATGGCCGAGATAGCATCCTCTTTCCCGGTGAGAAGTTATACCCTGTACTGTATTGCTCTCTGCCACTGTTATTTATCACACATAAGTCCACCTTATAGGCATCTCCACCTTATAGGCATCTCCACCTTATAGGCATCTCCACCTTATAGGCATCTCCACCTTATAGGCATCTCCACCTTATAGGCATCTCCACCTTGTAGGCATCTCCACCTTATAGGCATCTCCACCTTATAGGCATCTCCACCTTATAGGCATCTCCACCTTATAGGCATCTCCACCTTATAGGCATCTCCACCTTATAGGCATCTCCAGGCGGAGTTAACATTCCCGTTTCCAGGGAAAAGTTTTCGTGGTCTCTTTTCGTCTGTTGCCACTCTTACCACGCTGCACCGCATTTCACCGCACTCCACTGCAACCACAGCTTTCACTGCTTTTGCCATAAACCAAATTTGCCCCAATCACTCACCAAAAAATATGACCAAGGTAACAATTTGCCCCTGCTATCTCTTTCCTTCGACCCCTCTCCCTTCTCTAAACTCCATTTCTGAGGCGCCTAACAAATCACTCACCAGAAAAGATGACCAAGGTAGCAATCCGTCTTCAACCCCTCTCTCTTCTCTACAACCCATTTCCTCCCTTACTACCCTCGTTTGCACTACCTTCCAGACAGCTGGCTCGCTCTATTTCTGGGCGGCAGCACTGGCAGGGCCGAAGTGGGGCCCACTGGCCTCATTCATCACGGTGAGATGCGATTTGGTTTTATTCACGGCGAGATGTGATCTGACTTGATTCATGGTGAGATGCGATATAATTTCCATGGTACCCATTTTTGCTCTGGCAGGGGTAGACGCACCTTGGCTTGGCTGTGTGCACATGCAACGACTCTCATCCACCATTTTTTTAGTAGACAAAAAAAAAAGTATTCTCCACCGCTGTATCACTGAGAATACCTGCCGCTCTCTTTCCATGGCAGGGATGGATGGAGTTTCTGGGCCTGGCTGTGTGTGGGGCCAGCGTCTTCCATGCGCGGTTGTATCTCTGACAGTGCTGTCTCTCTCTCTCTCTGTGCTTCCCACCCACCCATACTGCTTGCTGTCACCCCGTGACAGGGGTGGATGGATTTTCTGGGCTTGGCTGTGTGTGGAGCCAACGTCTCTTATGGTGGCGCCACACCACACCACACCACCACACCACACCACACCACACCACACCACACCACACCACACCACACGACACTACACCACACCATACCATACATACCATGCCATCCCTTGCCATCCCTTGCCATCCCATGCCATCCCTTGCCATCCCATGCCATCCCTTGCCATCCCTTGCCATCCCTTGCCATCCCTTGCCATCCCATGCCATCCCTTGCCATCCCTTGCCGCCCAGCCGTATTCCTTCCTCATCACTCTCCTCGTCTCCCAGTACTCCCTCTACGGCTACGACTGCGTGGCGCATCTCGCAGAAGAGACAAAAAAGGCCGACCGGACGGCGCCACTCGCAATCATGTCCTCTCTGACTACAGTGACTGTCCTGGCGTGGCTGCTCGTGGTGGTGCTGACGTGGAGCATCCAGGATCCAGCTCATCTGTTTGCGGCGGAGAGCGCGACAGGTGGCATGCAACCAGTGGTGCAGATCATGTGGGACGTGTTTTACACTCGGTAAGAACGCGGTAAGAATGAAGGGTGGGGCGGGGAGGATGGGAGAGGGAGGATAAGGGGAGGGGGGGAAGTGGGAAAAGGGGAATAAAGGAAGGAGAAGAAGGAAGATGGCTGTTTTCTTGCACTCGCTCATACTCACATGCACAGTCGGAACTGAAAGAATGCACTTGCAAGCCTTCGCACACCCTTCCCACATCCTCTTCCCCACCCCGATCACTCCCCCTCACTGCAGTTTGTCTGCTCATATGAACTTCGTTCTATCTCCTTCCCATCCCCACTACTCTCTCCTTTCCCCTGCTCTCCGACGTCTCTCTCCTCACCTCACCTCACCTCACCTCACCTCACCTCACCTCACCTCACCTCACCTCACCTCACCTCTCCTCACCTCACCTCACCTCACCTCACCTCACCTCACCTCACCTCACCTCACCTCACCTCACCTCACCTCTCCTCACCTCACCTCACCTCACCTCACCTCACCACTCCTCTCCTCACCTCTCCTCACCACTCCTCTCCTCACCTCTCCTCACCTCTCATCACCTCCTCTCCCTCACTCCTCACCTGCTCTCCCAACCCTCGTCCCCCCCCTTGCAGCTACGGCTCTGGGTTGGGAGCGCAGGTCTTCACGGTCGTCATCTGCATCTCTTTCTTCGGAGCCACTCTCTCATGCCAACTTGGGGCATCCCGTGTGGTGAGTGGGCTGAGTGGTATACTGTGTGGTACTGTGTGGTACTGTGTGGTACTGTGTGGTACTGTGTGGTACTGTGTGGGACTGTGTGGTACTGTGTGGGACTGTGTGGTACTGTGTGGTACTGTGTGGTACTGTGTGGTACTGTGTTTACTTGGAGCCAACCTCTGATGCCAGCTCGGAGCATGGCAAGTGGTGAGGCTTGTTGCATGTTATCACGACTGAGCTATGACGGGGCACATCTTGTAGCAAACACTGTGCTGTGCGTCGCGACACGATGTGCCCCGTCACTCCTAACCCCCCATCCCTCCCTCCCCCGTCAGCCCAAACCACACCCCTGGCTACGCCCTGGCTCGGGATGGCGGGCTGCCTTTCTCCTCTCTCAGGCAGCACCTCACATCAAACCGTGTTCCTGTATGCGCCCTCACGCTCCCTCCCTCACGCTCCCTCCCTCATGCTCCCTCCCATCCCCAGGCCTACGCCCTGGCTAGGGACGGCGGCCTACCCTTCTCATCCCTCTGGCGGCGCCTGGCCCCCAATCGAGTGCCAGTATGGGCACTGACACTCTCTGTGCTGGTCGGGCTGCTCTTCCTGCTGCCCGTGCTCGCCTCCTCCACGCTCTTCTTCGCCCTCGCTTCCATCTCCACCATTGCTTGGATCTCCGCCTACTCCGTCCCCATCCTCTTCCGCACTGTGCAAGAAGAAAAGAATTTTCCGCCCGGCCCCTTCTACCTGCCCAACTACATCGGGTTCACTGCCGGGTAGGTGGAAATTTTCTTTTGGGGATGGGGGCATAAGATGTCAACAGGGAACAAGTGACAGAGGGTGAGGGCCATGTAGTGTATTGCTGAGCAAAAATGCATTGGTATGGCGCGCTCTCCTTGTTCCCATTGCCCCTCGTTTCACATTGAAGTCATTGTAATTCGAGGTCTTTTTTTTTTTCTTTCCTTCTCTTCCCTCATCCCCTTATCAACACACACACCTCTTCATAACTGTTCTTACAGAAAGTTGGTCCACGTGGTTGCTCTGTTGTGGGTGCTCTACACCCTCGTCGTATTCAACCTCCCGACGATGTTTCCTATTACCGTAGAGAATTTTAATTGGGCGCCGGTGGCTATTGCTGTGTGGATGAAGATGTTTATTGCGTGGTGGCTGCTGCATGCTAGATTCTGGTTTAAAACCCGAGGTCCACAGGTTTCAAAGGTAGGAAGGTTGGTTGGACCTAGTGGCCCTTTCAAAGGTAGGAAGGTTGGTTGGACCTGGTGACCCAACCAAAGGTAGGAAGGTTGAGGCAATTGAAGGGAACTTGAGACTCCGGTTTTAAAGGACCTGTTAGAGAATTTGAACCTGTTGAGGAAAGTTTCTTAACGAAACCAGTAAGGAGTTTTAAAAACTGCTTTCGAAGTTGCAAATGTATATAGTGTCTATATATGTTTCTCCGAGCTACACCAGTACATAGATACCATTCACACATTTTTTACCTTGGGATTGTCAATAGGCAAGGCCATGTGAAGTTACAGAGGTGAATGAGCAGTCCGTCGATAGAGGCCGATTTTTGGCAAAATGCTTGATTTCTCGTCGTCTGATTGGTGCGCTTGGCGGGACGCCCGTACCGCGTACAACAGCGTGATCGAGTCGCTCGCGAAGCCTAAGCTCGCCGCGCTTAACGCGTTCTATTGCGACGAGCTGCCGCGGCGATTGCGGCAACGACAGCGCGGTGTCGAAAGTGGCGACCCTGAACCCAGGATTCTCGAAGCCGGATATCTTAAAGCCGAGGATGTCGAAGCGGGAGATGTTAAACCAGAGACTGTTGTTGGTGGAGATACCAAAGGCGGGAGTAAACGCGCGAATGCCAAGGCCAGGTCGATCGAATCTAGGGTTACCAGAAGTAGGACCAGGAAACGCGAAGATGCTACATGTGAGGTCACGGAGGTCAAGAAGGACGAGGATGCTGGGGATGGTGGGGATGGTGGAGCTTACGTCAGCAAGGAGGAGCTCGTGTCGGTGATGGAGTGGAAGCTGACACGTGGCAAGTGGCGGTTAGTTCCTTAACATCACTCACCCGTCAGTCCCTCTTCCTCTCTCTTCTCATCATCCCCATCGTTTCATCTCACCCACCCACACAAGTACCAGTGATCTGAAACCTTGTAACACAGCCGCTACGACTCCTGCGATTCCTCTCTTTCTGCTTTCCTCCTGCTCCCACAATTCACTGCAGACCAAACACAACCCTTTCTCCTCTCCTGTCACCCGGCCTTCCTGTCTTGGGCCTCCCGTCTCCCATGCCTTTTCCTGTCAGCCCTCGTCTCCTCGATTTCATCAAGCAGCTCGACCCCACTGCAGTCCAAACTGCATCGTCCCGAGCCTTCGCTGCTCTGGCGCCATACACCCTTACCACGCCTGGAGGTTCGGAATCAGCTTCGGAAGCACGTTCCGAAGCAGGTGTTGAAGCGAGCCTGAAGGCAGCAGTAACGGAGCTGTCATCGCTCAAGGGGGTTGGAGCAGCGACGGCATCTGCAGTGCTGGCTGCGTTGGCCCCTCAAGTAGCTCCATTCATGTCAGACGAGGTGAGCTGCAATCTGTGTTAAGGTGAGCAGCAAACGGTGTCGAAACCAGTCTGAAGGCAGCAGTAACGGAGCTGTCATTTCTCAAGGGCGTTGGAGCAGCAACAGCGTCTGCAGTGCTGGCTGCGTTTGCCCCTCAAGTAGCTCCATTCATGTCCGATGAGGTGAGCAGCGATCTGTGTTGAGGTGAGCAGCGATCTGTGTTGAAGCGTGCCTGAGGCAGTATGTAACGGAGCTGTCATCTCTCAAGGGCGTTGGAGCAGCGACAGCATCTGCAGTGCTGGCCGCGTTTGCCCGACAAGTAGCTCCATTCATGTCGGATGAGGTGATCAGGGATCGTTTCGAGGAACAAAATACTGTTAACCATGTGAATATGTGAGATTGCATCACATGGCTTCAACGGAGTATGAAGCAGGTGTTCCTTACTCCGTTGATGCATCTGTGGCAGTTTTGCCTGTCTTCTTCAACCTTTACAGACTTCACCTTATGTTGCCCTCCCTCTCCCAACACCCTCTTTGTGCTCCTTTCTCTTGTCATCCTTGTCTCTCTCTCATCTCCCTGCCGTGGTGATCCAGGCCATGGTTGCGGCGCTGGGGGGACAGCAAGGACTACTCGCTTCGCTGCTACCTCATGAGCATTCGGATGCCCTTCCTCCTGAGAGTCTCTTTGTGCTTTCCCCCCTTTCTCTTTGTCTTTGTCTCTCTTCTCATCTCCCTGCTGCGGTGATCCAGGCCGTGGTTGCGGTGTTGAGGAAATGCAAGCTCTACTCGCTGCACTGCTAAGTAGGCTACTTTTGAGACTTCTTGAAAACCATGCTCCTTCCCTTCATCCTTGTCTCTCTTCTCCTCTGCCTGCCTGCTGTGGTGATCCAGGCCATGGTTGCCGCGCTGGGGTACAGCAAGGACCATTTGCTTCACTGCTTCTGCATAAGCACTCTGATGCCCTTCCTCCCAACAGTCTCATTGTGCTCCCTCCCCTCATCCTTGCCTCTCATCTCATCTGTCTGCCTGCCTGCCGTGGTGATCCAGGCCATGGTTGCCGCGCTGGGGGACTGCAAGGACTATTCGCTTCGCCGCTACCGTATGAGCATTCTGATGCCCCTGACAGTGTCTTTGTGACCCCTCCCGTTTCTCTTTGTCCTTGTCTCTCTTCCCATCTGCCTGCCTGTCGTGGTGATCCAGGCCATGGTTGCGGCGCTGGGGGACAGCAAGGACTACTCGCTTCGCCGCTACCTCGTTTTTGCAAAGGCCATGCGGGAAAAAGCATCGGTAAGCTGATTGGCACCTTTTTCTTTTAATGGTTCGCCGGCAACCCTTTTTCAGAAGCGCGTCATGTGTGTGTAGCTTCTCGCGTGTGTGTGGGCACTCCTGCTCGCATGCATTGGCCAGGGTGAGCACGTGTCAGTGCGGCAACGTTTCAAAGCAAACACATTTCTTCGATACTTTGCAAGGGTGCGAGCATTTCAAATGCACCTCCTTGAGACTGCATGCCTCCTTGTGTCTTGAACCTCAATCACTGATTGAATCTCTTCCTCCTCCCGTGTATCGTCAACAGGAATTGAATCAACTCGCCGACAAAGGCGCACAGGCAGGAGCTACAGATTCTTCTTCAGTTGAAGCAGAAGTGCAAGCAGAGCAAAATTTTGCCGGTTCTACGTCACATGAAGAGGAGGCTGCATTCGTGTTCACAGCTTCTGATGTAGAGAAGGCACTCTGGTCAACAGCTGTGTCAGGATTGCAAGCAAAGGCCAAAGTGGAAGGGAGCGGTAAAAGAAAAGAAACGGTGCCTGAGGTTGCTTCAAGAGCAAAAAGGAAACGTTGAATGATTACAATTAGCAGTTGTCATTTCGTACAAATAGGACCCGTAACCCGTAATGTTTTTTTTTTGTTTTTATCCGGTAGTCAAATTTGAAGTGCAAACAAGATTTTTACCCTGGTGCTTGACATTGCTTAGAACTGTATAGTTCCCGCCAAAACAAATTTCCGTGCGGATACCGTTTGGTGTTCCTGGTTAGCTCCTTCTCCCCTCTTGTGTGCCCAAGAGCCTGTCAGGTCTAGCGGCGGTGTGATTTGAGAAGGGCTTTCTCCCTCCTCTCGCCGTTCATGAAGGGAGAGTCCATGACGCTTTGAGATCTCGACCTTAGTCGGTGGCTATTGAAACAGCTTAGCTTGTGGTAGTTTATCGATGGAGTCAATTACGCGACCCGCAATGTGGTCGTCATGTGCTAGGGTCGTTCAAACTATAGTGCCGGAGGAGATAAATCGGGCCTCTAGGAGCACCGTTGCTAGCGCAGATGCTTTCTCCCATTCTCCATCAAACTGTTATAAGACCTATTCGACGGTAAGCCTTCACTTTTTCATTTTATAATTAAGTTACTCCACACCTTTCGCTCGAGGCTGTTTATTTGGACATTTCCTCACGTGGTTCTCATGTCCGCATTCGCGTGCAGTCAAGACTAGGAACAGTACGACAGCAGTCGTTCATTCGCTCTCGGACATCATTGCGAAGCGCTTTCACACCAGGATTTCACGGAATATCAGGTTTTATTGCTACCCCGTTGCTAAGGCATGGTGTCTGCCGGTCTTTAACGGGTATGGATTTGCTCTGTTGCCACTTTAACAATTTACAAGTGTCGTAGTTGCCTGCGTTTTGCGGCTTCAGCATTTCTTTTCATTCGTTGACGCGATACCTTTGCAGTAAGAGCTACCTATTTTGATGAAGATGACGAAGATTTATTCGAGTTAAGCTTCCTTCAACGCTTGCAGCGGGCATGGCGGATAATATTTCCACCGAGAAATCGTCCTCCAAGGTTGGTTACACCATTGATATCGTTGACTGTAGTGCATGCAAATCCGTCATTACTATGTTGTTCCACTGAGTTGAGTAATTCCTGGTCAAGCATCTGATCATCCTTTCTTTCCTTGAATTCTTGCAGCAATGCTGAGATTGCCAAAGAACGGCTTCGGCTTGTTCTGTACACAGATAGGGGGGAAGTAAGTCCTGAAGTGAGAAGGCGCCTACGCCGCAAGATTATTGATGCAATTTCAGCATACGTGGAGATTGAATCAGAAGAAGACGTTCAGCTGAGTGTGTCAGCTGACCCCGACATCGGAACCGTGTATTCCATCACCATTCCTGTGCGGAGAGTGAAGCCGGAGTATCAAGAGTACTGGAGTGAGTCTGGATTCAGGGATAGGTTTTATGAGGAGATTCTGAGGGAACGTGGCCCCAATTCAGCACTTACAAAGCTGGAAATAAAGAGGGAGCCTGTGTCAGATGATGATAGCAGAGCAGGGCCCGCGGATTCATGAACAGAGTTGTTACTGACATGAGGCTTGTTTTCTGGTTCTAGTTTCTTTGGGTCAGTTGTTCACTAATGTATGTTGTGGGGTAATTATTCTGCCTTATTTTCTATTGTGTTAAATGTAATTGACAGTGTACAGTTCCTAATTGTCCATTGACAGTTGTCTACTGGTTCGTCTATCTGTTTCATAAACGCCTGGGCGCCTTATCAAGAATGACTCTAAAGCGTTTGCCAACAGTAAAGGACCTGCGGCTTGGCGCTCACTGCGCCGCATCTTTCGCTACCCTCCAGGTTCTTGCCCTGAGTGCGGGGACACTCCGTGGACACGGTAACGTCTCCGCCCTACATGCGGCGCCCCAGCGCAGTCTCCGTGTATTTCCCCGCATGCGCATCCCCTTTTCAGGGTCACTCGCGCAACAGACTGCGCCGGGGCGCCGCCGCTCCAATTTGAAGGGGCGCTTGACTGACGGCGGATCACCGTACAGCCACTCTTCCCGCACTCTTCCTCAACCAGGGTAGGTAGTCGAAACGAAGGGAAGGAAAGGATCGACGACCACGATGAAGGATCCAACGATGACGAACATGCAAATTTGGGATGAATGGTGTCGATTGTTCAAGCACAGCCCATCCCATTTCAAGTGCGTTTTGCTCCCACCCACCTACCCAGAGACCAGACCACCTTCAGACCAAGCTGAAATCCTCCCTACTTGCATCCACCTAGTCTCTCTGCATGTAGAATCAATAACATCAATAAATGCTTTCAAGCGCTTGCTCCTCCTGCCTTACTCGCGGTGATAACCCGAGGCTGAAGAGCGAGCTGTCACTTTGATCGCCGAAGAAAAAATGAGCTGTCGGCAGCTCCAAAACCAGCTCGAATACCTGATGGCCGTTCGTCCAGAAGCCAGAAGTTTCAGGCAATGACAGCACCTGTGAATCAATGCGAGTGTCATCATCACCTGAAGTGAACAGCCTTCAATAATGGTGACGACGCCGTGCGCATCGCCTCGAGCTAGTACGCCTCTTCCTGCTCCGAGGCTGGCGACGTTTCGCCTCGCGACGAAACTTCGATTCGTGCGAAACGCATTGACGCATCCAGCCGACGCAATGCAATTTCTTGCCTGCCAAGTAATGCGCACGCGGCTGCTGCTGCTCCTCCTGCTCTTGCTGCTGCCAGCAGAACGCGGGATCACCGCCCGAGCACCGCGCTCTTCCGACTCGTTACAAGCATCCGCGATTGAAGCCTCTACACAACCAGCCTCGCTTAGTTCCAAATATCCCATTCGTTTTCAGCCAGAATCGATTGAGCTCGATAATAGTCCATCTTCTCCAGCGGATTCTCAAAGCGGTGACCAGACAGCACCGTTGATAGTACCTGCCGTGTTGCCTAGACTGATTCTCAGACGACGCAAGGATTCGAAACCGCGCCTGGAGAATGCGGATGGAACAACGGATTCGCGCGCTATTGGTGGCTTGAGGAGCAGCAGGATTCTAAACGCAGACGCGAGTCACATGCGACTGGCAAGAGAGAGTAAGGTCTGCCATTTCCAACCCGCAACGCTCGCTGAATGTGTCAGCGAGGCTCGTAGACTCGTACTGTGTCGTCAAGATTGCCACAGTGCCAAACTGCAGCTGAAGCCTGTTCTTTCGAAGTGAACTGTGCTGCTGCTGCTGCTGCTGCTGCTGCTGCTGCCTCTGTGTCTGTGAATTTTACTAACTGAAATGTATATAAGTTCGCTGCGTTTCTTGATATGAGTCACTTTCGAGAATTCTCAAAAGTGTCTCTGCGTTCCGCATGCCTTCTCCCTCTACCGCTTCCTCCTTTCCGTCTACATTTCGTTCCATGCCCTCGACCCATCTTCGTTTCGCCCTGTCCTCTCCTTCCATGTTGTTCTTGTTGAAGGCAGAAGGTGACAGTCCCCTGCGCAACAGCAGCAACGGAAACACCACTAGCGGTAGCAGCATAAACGGTAGTGACGGAAACAGCAACAGCAGCAACGGGAACAGCAGCAGGAGCAGCGACAGCAAGAGCAGCATAAAAAACGCTTTCAGCAGCAGCAATGGGAACAGTAACAGCAGAAGCAGCGGCAACAGCAGCAGCAACAGCAGCAGTAACAGCAGCAGCAGCAGTAGCAGCAGCAATAACAGCAGCAGCAGCAGCAGCAGCAGCAACAGTGAGAATGGCAATGAATCTTGGATTGCCAGCAGTAGCGACGTGAGTAACAGTGATGGAAACACCACTGGCACCACAAGCAACAGCAACAACAGCACTGTTACCGCAAGCAATAGCACTGGCAGCAGTGGCAACAGTAACAGCACAAGCAGCAACAGTAACAACAGCAGCAGCATCAGTGATAACAGCACCAACAGCAGCAGTAATAGCAGCAATAGCAGCAACAGCAGCAGCAACAGCAGCAGCAACAGCAGCAGCAACAGCAGCAGCAACAGCAACAACACCAGCACCACCACCAGTGAGCCCACCGCTCTCTCCCCCACCAGTCGTGCAATCCTCATATCAGCCCTCACCATCACCCTCTCTCTCGCCCTCATCTCCGCTCTAGCCGCGTCCACCATGGCTCTCCTGCTCTACCGCCGCCTCCCGCCCAATCCCCACACGCCACGTGGCGGATTCTCAGTGGTCGCGGCACACGGATCCAGTGACGGTGGAGAGAGTGGGAGTGGGAGTGGCATCAGCAATAGCAATAGCTGTAGCATTGGGAGTGGGAGTGGCCGGGGGGTTAGTGGCCGGGGTGGTTTACCCAGCCCGTTCGGGGGTGGTTTACCCAGTCCATTTGGGGGTAGAAGAGAGAAGAGGCGGCCGCTTGGGGAGCAGTTGGAGGAGGGGGATGGGGGAGGCTGGGGGCACAATGTCGAATACCATGCAGATATTGCTGCTGCCGGCACTGGCGCTGGCGCTGCTGCTGGTACCAGCGCTGCTGCTGGTACCAGCGCTGCTGCTGGTACCAGTGCTGCTGCTGGTACCAGTGCTGCTGCTCGCCCTGGTGCTAGTGTTGGTGCTGCCACTGCTGCTGTTAGCGGCGGTGGTGGTCGCCATGCAGGGGGTGCGGTGGCGGAGAGCGAGGGCGAGGAGGCATCGTTTGACATTCAGAAGGTGGTGGAATTCACCCTCGCTGACCTCGTTGCTGCCACTGACGGCTTTGCTGACAAGAACCACCTCGGCCAGGGCAGCTACGGCAATGTGAGTGTCAGTTTCGTGTGGCATGGTATGGTAGTGAGTGCGGTGGCAGAGAGCGAGGGCGAGGAGGCGTCGTTTGACATTCAGAAGGTGGTGGAATTCACCCTTGCTGACCTCGTAGCTGCCCCTGACGGCTTTGCAGACAAGAACCACCTGGGGCAAGGGAGCTACGGCAATGTGAGTGGTGCTGTGGTGTATGGTACGGTATGGCTGTGTTCTGAGTCGAGAATCAAGACATTCAGACGGTGGTGGAATCTACCCTATCTGACCTCGTAGCTGCCCCTGACGGCTTTGCAGACAAGAACCACCTGGGGCAGGGCAGCTACGGCAATGTGAGTGGTGCAACGGGACGGGACGGGATGGGATGGGACAGGTGGGTGTGTGAGTGAGTGGTGCTATGGGATGGTGGTGTGGTGACATTGCATGACATAGAGGGGTGACTGTTCTTAACGCGGCTATCAATCTGGATGGAAGTGGCGTTGGAATCCACATTATAAGGCCACGAGGATCGAGGCACATTATAAGGCACACTCCATAGCTTGGAGTCGAGGCACGCTGACACACTTTTGAGGCGCCTCCAAAGGAATCGAGGCACACTGACACACTAAACCCTGCTGCGTCTTCCCCCCACCTCCTCCTTCCTTGCCTGCTTCCCTGCACCAATCGCGTGGCGCCAGGTGTACCGAGGGAGGCTCAAGTCGGGAGAGGTGGTGGCGGTGAAACGAGCCAAGCCAGAGCGGCGGCAAGACATGCGCAAGTTCGAGAAGGAGGTGCGGTGAGATGGAGTGAGAGATGGAGTGAGATGGAGTAGAGATAGAATGGGATAGAATAGAGATGGAGTGGGACGAAGTGAGAAGTTGGGTAGCCAAAGAGCAAGGTAGAGCAGCGGCAAGACGTGAGCAAGTTCGAGGTGAGATGAGATGGAGTGAGATGAGATGGAGTGAGATGAGTGTGAGTGAGAGTGGAAAGGGAGTGAGATGAACCAAGGCGACAAGACATTCATCAACTCAAGCAAGATGTGTGATGAGTTGAGGTGGGGCATTGCCAAGAGGATAAGGAGCACCTGAAAGCACACGACTCTTTTTTAGAATCCTCAAAAAGGTGGGGCTGGGGCAGTGCCAAAAGGATCAGGAGCACCTGAAAATACACGAGTTTGTACTTCGTTCTCTCATCCTAATTCTTTTCCTCCCTCCACACACTCGGTTACTGATCAATCCCTCCCCCCCCCTATCAGGTGATGCTTCTCTCCAGGGCGCGCCACAAGCATCTGGTGCAGCTGCTGGGGCATTGAGCCTATGAGTTAATGCTTTCTTCCCATCCCATCCTAACTGTTCCTCCTTCCATTGCTCCTCCCCTCGCAGGTAATGCTGCTGTCTCGGGCACGACACAAGCATCTGGTGCAGCTGCTGGGGTACTGTCGGGAGGAGCAGGAGCAGCTGCTGGTGTAAGAGCTCATAGGCGGAGGAGGGGGAAGGGGAAGAGGGAATAGCCCCCCACAAAACCTCAACTCCCTTCCTCCTATTCCTCTTCCTCCTCACCCACCCTTCCAAACCATTCCTTCTATCCACTCTCCCACCCCCCATCAGGTGATGCTGCTGTCTAGAGCGCGTCACAAGCATCTGGTGCAGCTGCTGGGGTACTGCCGGGAGGAGCAGGAGCAGCTGCTGGTCTACGAGTTCATAGGGGGGGGCACCCTCTCTCACAACCTCACTCCAACCTTCTAGAAGCAGTTGCTAGTGTAGCGAGTTCATAGGCGGGGGGAGAGAGGAAGAACCCCCTGCTCAGAACCGCAAATCCCCCTCCTCCTTTCCCTCCCCTTCCTCGTCACCCATGCTTCCACTCCCCCCTCTGCCAGGTGATGCTTCTATCCCGAGCGAGTCACAAGCATCTGGTGCAGCTGCTGGGGTACTGCCGGGAGGAGCAGGAGCAGCTGCTAGTGTACGAGTTCATAGGGGGGGGCACCCTCTCTCACAACCTCAATGCCCCCTGGCGAGCCAGACAAAACAAGCCGCCCCTCAACTGGACCGAGCGGCTGCTGGTGGCGGCGGGGACGGCGCGCGCGCTTGCGTACCTGCATGATGACGTCAGCATGCCTTTCATCCACCGGGATGTGAAGGTGGGCGATGGGATGGGATTAGTTTGGGTTCGGATGGATAGGACGAGATGGGATAGGACGAGATGGGATGGGATGGGATGGGATGGGATGGGATGGGATGGGATGGGATGGGATGGGATGGGATGGGATTGGATTGGATTGGATTGGATTGGATTGGATTGGATTGGATTGGATTAGATGTTATTGGATTGAATTAGAGGATCAATTGGCATGAGCAAGTCATTTGGTGGCAAAGCAACTCTTGTTAACCTCAACTCTCCCCAAACCCATGCTTTCTTTTCTCACCAATCCTCACCACACTGCATCGTTCGTAACCGCTCTGCACAGCCCGGCAACATCCTGTTGGTTCGGCACGTGGTGGCGAAGCTGGCAGACTTTGGCACGTCGAGAGCCGTGGACACCTCATCCTACTCCGCCACCATCCAGGGCACTGCGGTGAGTTGCACAGGGTGAGGGATTACACGTGCCAGGTGTGTGCTTACATGCAATACACATGGACTCGCCGAGAGCCGTGGACACGTCGTCATACTCCGCAACCATTCAGGGCACTGCGGTGAGATGTGGAGGTATTTTGGAGTGTGCAATACTCATGCATGTCGAGAGTCGTGGATGCAACCATTCAGGGCACTTCAGTGAGTTGTGGAGCAACATGGGCTGAGGGCCATGCAGTTGCCAGGCGTGTGTTTAAGGTGCATGCGTGCAACACACACCAGTGCATCAAGCTCCGTGGACAATGTGACCACTTGGTCATACTCTTCAACCATCCCAAGTGGTTTGTGTACAAAAGCGTGCATGCTGTGTCCGTGCATGCATGTGTTTTAGTCAGGAGCTTTGGTTTTTCCCTTAATCACATGAGACAACATAGTGCACCACTCACACCACTCGCAGGGCTAGTGCGACCCCAACTACTTGAAACGGGGCAGCCACCGAAGCACATAGACATGTACAACCGTGTGCCTTGCCTTGTATGCTTGCGCTCACATCCCTTGCTCCTCCCCACCCTTTGCCACGGAACTCGCAGGGCTACTGTGACCCCGACTACCTCAAATCAGGGCAGCCGTCGAAGCGAATAGACGTGTACAGCTTTGGCATCGTGCTATTGGAGCTCATCACTGGCAAGTCGCCTAGAGGCATCAACAGGCCATACCGCTTCCATGTGAGTGCGGGAGTGCGGTATTACCTCAATTCAGAACTCGTCTCAAATGCTATAAAAGCTCATTACTGGCAAGTCTCCCAGAGGCATCTCCCGGCCATACCTTTTCCATGTGAGTGAGAAGACGCTTTTTCTTTTACAAAAGGAAACACAGAAGAAAAAGGAGGAGGAAACGAAAGTTATGAGACTCAAAAAACATCATTGCCAAACCTTCTAACATCGTTCATAGGCTGTAGCTCTTCCAAGTGATTGGGCATAACTTTTTTCATTTAGTGACCCTTTCTTGCTTTCCTCTTTTTAAGTGTGGCTTTTCTCGTGTTTGTATTAGAAATTGGATTCTTCTCGTGCCATCTTAACGTGTTTGGAACCATAACCGGGTAAACGTTCACGGTTTCCCAGCATGCATGTTTGTTCTATTGAATCTTTGCCACCCCTTGCTAAACTCACGCAGGCCGTCTGATCCCTGCAGACTCTCCCCCGTATATTCCCTGGCTCAATTTCCCCACAAACACCCCCTTCCGCCCTTCTTTTCTCGCCACTATTTTATTCAGGTTCAGGATTTGCTCGACAAGAAGGGGCTTGCAGGGATAGTTGACCAGTCCATGGGCATTTACCCTGAAAAAGAGGTGACCAGCGTGCTCAGCCTGGCCTTCAGATGCACAGACATCAAGAACCCCGCTGGCCGACCCTCCATGAACCGTGTGGTTACCGAGTTGGAGTCGGTGTTAGAGCCTGAGCGAGTGCTCCCAGTTACATCGGCGGTAACACGGCAAATACACCACCAACATGATATAAGCTTATCTCGAGGTGTTGGCGACGAGAGGGTTCCAGAGGCGCAGATTGAAAATGTGCAACAAACTGGGGGGTCGAATCAAGCAGGAGATATGGAAGAGACGAGAGGAGAAGTATGGCAAGGTCATGATGATATGAGGGAGGGGGGTGTTGTAGGAGAGGGTGGAAGCATGGAGTTGTCGTTTGATTGGAATTTGCAAGAGGGAGGAAGTGGTGGGTTGGGGCGAGATAGAAGAAACGCTTCCATGATAAGGGATCCGGATAGGCCAAGCAGGTTCTCATTTCGGGGCCAAGCATTTGAAGATTCTGATAGGGAGTTTGATGAGAGCGGGGTACTTAGCTATGGGCCAATAAACCCAGCCTAGATGTATACCTAGTTCCTTTAGTTTTGTTTTCTGTGTATCGTGTTAGATCTGGTGGCTCCATTTCTATATCGCGAATGTGATTCGCGGAAGAGCTTTTGCGGGGCGGAGCCATTCCGCTCAGCGGAACTGTTCCGTTCCGCAGGGTAGTTGGGGTTTGGTCGGTGGTGCAGGGGCTTGAGGGGGAAACTCCCCCCACCGACGGATCCGAGTCGACACAGGGGAGGCATACAGGCAGACACACACCCTGGGAAAGGGAGGGAGGCAGGCATCCAGCCAGGGGAATCGCAGCCCCTCACAGACTGGCGGTGAGTGAGTGGAATGGCCTGGCAGGCACGCATACAACTGGCGGATGGGGGTGAGCAGGGGACGGGGGACTGTGTGAGGGAGGGATGATGTTCGCAAAGAAACGAATCTCGTGCAACGTGACAAACTTGGGGGACAGGTTCAATTCCAGCGCAGTCCGTCGTGGCTGACGGTCAGCTTGACGGCAGGTTTTGTTCCCGTTTCCTTCGAATGCCAATGAGAAAAACCCGTTGGACGGAGTCAAACGGTTGCAGTCGAATATAGTCGGATTCCGTCTCATTTCGCTGGGAGCTTGTCGTTCGTACGGGTATGGAACATTCGTTCAACTTGGACCACGCTACAGAGCACTTTATCTCGCGGAAAACAACAGTACCGTGCAGAATGTAGTGCGACCGAAATGCTACCAAAAAACCTGACAGCCGCCATGGAATGGGACTCTCCCCTTTTGCGAGCAGAATGCTGCAGCCATTGCACACACTACTATTTTCTGCGACTAGCCCATCGTGCAGATTACGAACTTGAACTAGAGACGCTCTCCATTGCTGTGGTTTATTTTCAATGCCATAGGCCGTCAAGTATGACAATGCCTGATAGGGCCGTGGTACCAGGTGTTAAGTAGGAGAAGTCTTTCTCGTTACCTAGTTGTTGGTATTTAACCTAAACTACCGGTGTCGATTTCGTGTCTCTCTGCGTTTCTCGCATTCCTCGCATTTCCCGTATTTAACCCTGTTTTCTTGCCAGTATCTCCCACTGGCTTACCATGAAGTCCCCACGCCGCTTCGTTCCCGCTCCATCGCTGCTTCCGCTCCTGCTTCTCGCAGCAGCAGCAGCGACAACCGCTCCTACCTCCTTTTTCGTTTCCGCTGACGGATCTCTGTCAGACGCTAATCAGAATCCGTCCGAAAACTTCGAGTTTCCCACCTTTAGCGCGGATGACGAGGAACTTATTATGGCGTACGAAAGGAAGTTCGCAGTTAGACCCGGCGAAGAGGAGGTGTCAGACGAGCAAGCGTACCATCTGGGAGAGAAACTGAGAGCTCGCGGTGTGACTGCAGCGGATGTGCTACAAAGTGAAGACGATGTTCCGTCGGGGAAGGTGAAAATGGAGGGAGGCGAGCAGACGGATTCCGTCAGTGACGACGATACCCGTCAAGGTAACGTCTGTCTGCCGTTACTTAACCTGCTGCATCTCCCGCGCATTCCTGTCGTGTTCCTGCTCATGACGGCTTTGAGAGGTCTCGGAACGCTTTCTTGCTTCCTGTCTTGTTCCCGCTTTTCTGTTTTCGTGTCTTCTTCATTTCACCGATATTAAGGTTTTCTGTTTAGGTTCCTCAAACATAGATCAACTTTTATGTTTTGATTCATACCACCTTATCTCTTGTTTGAATCATTCCAGCTGTTTGTCATCCCTAATCTCGTACCACCTTCTTTCCCCGCATTCCCTCATTTCCTATTTCCCCATCAGAGTCTCCGCGGAGGACTCTCTCCGAAACTTCCGCTTCCGCTTCCGCCTCCCCATCCGCTTCCCCGGATCAGTCCGACCTCGCGACGCAAACCATCGCGCGCCTTCGTTCGCTCGGCTTCCGAACCTTCGCGAGCGCTCTGGAGAAAACAAACGTTCTTTCCGCGCTCCCTCCGAACGTCGCGCGCGCAGGGGGTTTCTCCCTCCTCGTCCCCTCGGACCGCGCGTTTCTTAATCTCCCGCAAGCCGTTCAGAAGCTACTAAGAGGCCCTGACGCTAAAGCCGTACTTAAGAACCTCCTGCTCTACCACATTTTCCAGCCGCGGATTAATTTTAACTACTTCCTGAAGCTCAGAGGGCGGCGCGTGAAGACGTTGCTTCCAGACCAGACTCTGACCGTTGGATTCGCGCGCTCCGGCTTTCCCGCAGCGCCGACAGTCGCGGGAGGGGAGTCTCTCTGGTTCGCTCCCTCCGACGGCGGAAAGCGGGGTGCGGATAGCAGCAGCGCCAGCACCGTTGTGCTTGTAAAAGATGTTGCGTATAACGGGCTCGCGATCTGCCAGGCGGTCAGCGCGGTGCTCGTTCCGCCGTTGGATCTCCTCTCGCCTCCCGACGCATCACCCTCCTCCTCCTCTTCCTCCATCACCACGACTAAGACTAAGAACGCGCCTCCGGTTTCCAAAACAAAGTCGCCCGCCAACGGCGGAAGCGGAGGGAAGATCCGCCCGCCGCTATCAGAAAAAGCCTTCGTCGAATCGGCCTCCTCGTTCGGCGGCGCGGCCGCATTCGCGGCAGGGGTGGGGAAACGCATTAAGGCAGGACGAGTCGCGTCACCGGCAACGAAGGCCGTGCCGAGTCCAGTCATCCGGCCGTCTTCTATAACGCTCACGCCGCAGCAGCAGGTGCTCTACTGGCTCTCGCGACACGGGCTCGGTCGCACCGCCGCGAATCTCGCGCAGTCCGGCGTGCTGGATCTCGCGACGGCGAGTAACCCGGTTACCGTTCTCGCGCCGACGCAGCTCGCGTATCGCTTCCTCCCCTGGACGGTCCGGCAGCTGTTTTTCACCGCGAGGGGGGAACAGGTGTTACCGAGGCTGATGAAATACCACGTTATAACGGAGCGGCTTACAGTGAAGCAGCTGCGACACGCGGGGAATCACAAGTATCCGACCCTGCTGGACGAACACCCCGTGGATACGAAAGTAGGCTCGACATTTGTCCGTTTCTCCCCCGAGCCTCCGGACTACGCCGCCGCGACCATCATCCCCGGGTCGTCCTTCAGCAACGGCATCGCAACCGTCCACGTCAGCAGCTCCGTGCTCATCCCGCCCTACGATCTCCTCTCCATCCCCGAGCCTCCCTCCCCTGCGCCCGTCCCTCCGCCCCTCGGCCCCGCGCCCGGCCCCGGGCCCGCGCAAGCCCCCCCGCTGGGGGTCCAGGCGCTAGACATGGTGGGGGACCTAGAGGCGGAAGGGGGGGCGTTTTGGGAGGAGGCTAAACTCAGGGCTTCCGCTCCCGTTCCCCCTCCCCCTCGCCCTCCGCTTCCCCCGCCGCCGCCCCCGCCCACGGGCGGGTTCGTCCCGAAACGCCAGCTGATCTCGTTTGAGGACGCGCGCGGGGAGCCGTATAGCGCCGCGCCTCCCCCCATGGCAGAGCCTTATAGCACCGCGCCTCCCCCCATGGCCGTGAACTTGGCGCAGGAAGGGGAAGGGGAAGGAGAGGGGGAAGGGGAAGGGGAAGGGGAGGGGGAGGGGGGACGAGAAGCGGACGAGGTGGACGAGGTGCGGGAAGCGGCGCTAGAGACAGCAGCGGGTTCTGAGGGGAGGGAAGTGTACGGCGAACCTGGTTCCGGTTCAGGTGCTTCTTCAGGTGCCAGGCGTGTGCTTCCTGAGCTGTCCCTCTCCGCCCGCCAGCAGACCATAGACGAGCTAGCAAAGCGCGGCCTCACTGTACTCGCTAAGAACCTCGCCGCTACAAGGATACTACACTCCCTATCCGGCCCAGCCACACTCCTCGCACCCACCAACCTAGCCTTCTGGACCCTCCCCCTGCCGATTAAAGCCCTACTCATGGGTCCCAAGGCAGACTTAGTTCTCAAAAACCTCGTGGCCTATCACATCCTGCCAAATGGCCGCGTGTCGTCAAAGCAGTTCGAAGAAGGGATAGCAGCGGCGGGGATTGAGGAGTATGAGATATTTGACACGCTGCTGGAGGGGCGGAGTGTGAAGGCAGAGCACGTGGGGAAGGCCCTCGCATTCTCGCCACTGCCCATGGTGCCGCTGCTGAGCCGAGTGGCCCGGGTTGTGGCGTCGGATATTAATAGCGAAGCTGCTGCTGCTAACGAAGCTGCTACTAGCGGGGATGCTGCTAGCGGGGATGCTGCTAGCGGGGATGCTGCTAGCGGGGATGCTGCTAGCACGGATGGAATCACGATCCATGTGATCAACCGGGTGCTCATTCCGCCCGTCAAGGTGTTGCTAGCGCCCTTCTCCTCCTCCTCCTCTCCCGTGTCCTCCTCCTCCGCCTCGTCCTCCCCTGGAGCAGCAGCAATGGCGGTTAAACCCTTCAGTGCAGCCTACGCTGCTTCGGCCCAGTCCATGATTTTACCAATGAGTGAGTCACGCACGCGTCTATTGCTGTCGCTTGTTAACTGGTTACATGCTGTTGGTTACATGCTGTGGTTCTGTTCAAGTGACTTGAGTCAACTCGAAAGACTCTGTTCACCTTTGCTGTTTCTGTGACCTGCTCCCACTACCTGTTCGTTTTCCGAGTCGACTTTGTCTTCTTTGCTGTTCACTTTGCTGGTAATGTGACCTGCTCCCACTCCCTTTCCCTATGCCATCCTCTCTCCGCCTTCCCCTCCATCATCCCCTCCATCTGATCGTGACCCTCCACCCTTCCCACCAATTGAGTGCCTTTTGAGAATCTCAAAAGCCACCCTTCCCACCCCACCCATCATTCCTCTCACCCCCCATCGCCCTCCTGCTCCTTTTGGCCTGCACCAAGTCTGTTGACGTGCCTTGATCAACTCGCTGCCTTCCACCTCTTCCCACACTCCTCTCTCCACTCGTCCCTGCTCTCTTACTATCTCCTAACCTGTCATCATAGTTTGCTTTTTTTTCTTCCTCCCCTCCCTCCTCCCTCCTCCCTCCTCCCTTCCCCCACTCCCGCCCCCCGCACCCGTTTCCTACCCTCGCCCTTCTCACATCACAATTGTCCTCCTTTTTCCCTCCCCCCCCCCCCCCCCCATTCTCCTTTCCCCCCTCCCCCCCATTCCCTCTCCGCACCCCATTCCAGCCGAGTCAACCGATGCCTCTCCCCCGCCGCCCGCGCCGCCCCCCCCTCCTACTGCGGACGACACGATAATGACCCGCCTGCGCCTCTTCGGGTGCTCCAAGACCGCCGACATGATCGTACGCTCCGGCTTCATCGCGCTCCTCACCACCGCCACCTCCCCCAACGTCACCTTCTTTGCTCCCACCGACGACGCTCACGCCCGCATCCCTGCACCCGTGAAGCAGCTTATCACAGACAACGGCGCTGCGGCCGAGACGCTTCTCCTGAGCTACCAGTCGGTTTTCGGTGTTCAGACCTATGCGGAGTTGACTAATAAGTCGATTGGCTCGCTCCCAACGCTGCTGACGGATATGTCTGTCACGCTGACCAAGTCCCGCTGCCCGTACTTCAAGAGGTTTTACCAGGAGCCGGGGTGCAAGGAGGAGGTTTCCCTGTTTTCGGAGCCGCCTATGAGTTACCCTGCGGTGAGAATCGTCCGGCCGAATATAATTTATATTCAAGACCCGCGGAATATTTCAATCTCGGGGCAGAATGTCACGATTGTTGTGCAGACGCTCGTGCATATCTCCTCAGACTTTTTTATTCCGGATATGGTGCTGCTGGTTCCTGGTGCTGTGCCTCCTGCTCCTCCCCCGGACTCCCCTCCTCCTCCTCCTCCCGCCCCTCCACCACCACCTGTGTAGTGTGATAGTTACAGTAACGTTGCTGTCGCTGGGAGGATGCTTTAAGCTAGTGTATGAATGTGTATTGGTGCAACTGAGTTCGCCATTTGTATTGTAGTTGGATTCGTGCAGTGAGAATCTTGGAGGCTCAGATGCCTGATAGTGTATTTGCCCTACTGTATGACATTCTTGCACCAACCATGTATGGAAAATTGTACCTGGTACCGTATACCTAGTTTGTGTGCGGATTTTATAACACGGGTACCCGTAAAACGGAATTTCAGGAGGCCGAAACGGAATTGCTGAAACAGTCACCTGCGCCGCGGCTAACCATCGCCAAACCTAGAGATTGCTGTGGCTAAACCCAGGGTTCCCAAGTCCCAGGTCCCGCTCTCAATCTGTGGTGCAATTCCCGGGGCTGGAACCTAGGTATGGGAAGGTGACAAATTGTACTGTACGTCGACAAATGATCCAAAACCGACTGCGCTGTGCCTGCAGAACAGGCCAAGCCAGCAAGTTTTACTCGAACCTGATGTCGCTGCTAAACCAAGCCTCGATTCTATCTAGGAACGGTAGTCTCGCACCGAGCCTCACTCCAGGTATGGGTTCTCCCCAACTGCCCCGGCCGCCATACCTAGCCAGCGCTGCCACTTCCGTTAGTCCCATCAGTGAGACCAGAAGTCGCTGTAAGGTCATCCCACTGGTTCATTGCGGTTCTTACGGTTCCGTAAAGTTTATGCATGTTTTAGAACGGTGAAGGGGCGATAATTACTCAGAAACTACATACATACTACCTTTTCAGTCATGAGTCACTCATGACTGCATGACTGGGTTCCACCCACAGTTCAATCAAACCCACCTTAGTAGGGTTTTCTCAATCTCGTCAGCCTATCCATCTCGCAAGTGTCCATCAACCTCGTCTTACTGGACTGTACGTATGTAGACGTTACCGCTAAGGGAGCTAACAGTTGAGAAGCGTTTCGTACAGCGTAGTCGGTGCAGGAGGAAAATGGCGGCTTTAGCGCACAGACTAAGCGTCAGGCGGTCTGTGCTCAATCGGACGCGATTTTTCCAGTGATATTAATTCAATATATATTTTAATAACGCTCGAAACCAGGTAATCTTTCTCCATTCCCCTACATTATTAATATTTACTGACCCGTTGGCTGCCATTTGGTAGCACCGTCGAATTGCCGCCCTGCAATCGCAGCCACAACCGATCATGAAGGCGTTCGCATGGATAAAGGCTCGATGGGAGGAGGCTCGGAGCGCCTGAACAACAACAATGTGCGCGGAATAGGGAACTCATCCGCCAACGAGACGGCGACACGTGGCAGCAGCCACCGGGATTCCCGGAAAGCACACTCCGGAAGCGGCCAATCACCCAGGACAATCTTCGGGGGAGGTGGAGACGGATCGTCGACGAGTCGCACGAGTAACGACTCTGACAGCCACGCGTCGTCCAGCCAGCATTCTACTTTCGAGCCGCCTCTAAGACCGTCGCCGAGTCGCACGAGCAACGATTTCAACAGCCACGTGTTGTCCAGCCAGCATTCCCAGATGGTGCGGGAAGAGCGGCGGGGGAGAACACGAGACGACGGCTGGGATGACGACAGCGGTGGCGGCAGCAGAACAGGAAACGGCTCTTTACCTCGGGATCGCTCTCGCGGCAGCAGCAGCGAGGAGACGCCGCCGTGCCGGCCGTCGACTTCTGGCGGCGTCCGCCGGCCGAGGCGGCCGGAGGACGGCGGCGCGGCGATGAGTCCGCGAAGCGGCAGCAGCAGCCGCGTTCCCGATTGGCAGGCGTCGTCGTCGTCTTCGTCGGGGGCACCGCCGCAACGGCCGGCGACTAGCGGCGGCCGGCGAATGCCGTCCCGTCCAGGTCCGTCAGCTGACGATGACGTAGACGGAGCCAGCGGGACGAGCGGAGATTGGCCGCCGCGGAGGTTAGTCGGAAGCGCGAGTACGAAAGGCGGAGGGGGAGGGTACGGGGATGAGGCGCCGGGTTTGCCGCACTCGGGTTCTTACTCCTCCGGGTATCGCGGGCAGGGCTCGCCGCCGCGTCGCGCGTTCCACAAGTCGCAGTCCGCGAAGATTAATCTTTCGAACTCCGGAGCCGCGGTGCGCGAAGCGGACCGCGACCGCGATAGGGACAGGGACAGGGACCGAGAACGAGGAGGGTATAGGGACCGAGAACGGGAACCACGAGACCGCGCCAGCAGCTTTAGGGACCGGGACAGAGTTAGATATTTAGCAGAGGGTGAAGCGGAGGGCGACTTACCTCTAATGTCGCCTTCTAAGGAGCGCGCCGTGAGTCGCTGGGTGGAGGATTCTCTCTGCGAATTAGAAGGCGGGGAGCTGGGGGATGGTATAGATTCCCCGGGGAAGGAATCTTCGTCGTCTTCCTCCCGCCGCCGCGCGTCCGGCTCTCGGCGCGAAGAGTACGGCGCGGACGGGGATTACGACGAGAGATCGAGCGGCAGCGGAAGGCGCGTGAATCCGCGCGAGCGGGACGGGGGAGGGGGGTATGAAGGCTCCCCGCGCACGCCCCCCCCGCGGTCGGCGTCCCGCGGCGGGGGGCGGAACGCGGACGAGGCGGTCACTCCGGGGAGGTCCCACCTCAGGCCGGTGGAATCCGCCGGCCGCCCGCCCTCCCGCGGAGTTCCGGGGAGCCTTGATCCGTCGCTTAGCGGGCGCGCGCGGAGCTTCGGCCGGCGCAGTTCGGCGGAAGGCGGCGGCGGAGCGGCAGAGTTGCGCCCGCGCACGCCGTCCGGAGCGGAGCTACTCGCGCGGCCGGGGACGGCGGAGGGGAGGCGCCCGCGGACGGCGGACGTGAACTCCGCGTATGGGCGCCCGGGCGTCCCGCGGAGCATGTCCTCCGCGGAAGCCGCACTGGCGGGGCCGGGGGGGTCCCTGAAGGAGCGCGACCGGGGGGGGGATGGCGGAAGGATGCGCACAGTCCCCCGCTCCGCCTCCGAAGTTATGCCCGAGGACCTGGGCGGAGGCGGAGGGGGCGGGGGCGGCGCGCGCAGGGCACCTCTGAGATCCCCCAGCACAAGTCTGCGGTCTAACTCAGTATCTAAAGACTATGAGGATGAACGGGGCTGGAGCGGGGGTGGCGCCGGGTATGGGAGCCAGGACAGGCCGTACACTTCGCGTGGGTATGGGCGGCGGAGGGAGGACTACGGGGGAGACGAGAGGGGCGGAGGGGGGAGATACGAGGGGGATAATCATTTGAATGAGGAGCATAGGCGGCTAGCAATGGAGCTTGAGAAGGAAAGGGAGGAAAGGCGGAAACTACAGGAGGAGTTGAAGAGAATGGAGAGGGAGGTTAAGGAGAAGGATGATAGGAAGCGGACGGATAAGGAGAGGAGGACGATAGAGAAGGAGAGATTAGTCGCTGACGTGGCGGCTTTGAAGCTGCCCGTGGACCGGATCGCAGTGGAGGAAAAGAAATCTGCCCGGAGAGGAATATTTTCGGTGTTTTCCAGCCGCCCGAAAACGCCAGATGTGGACAAAGCGGCGGGGATGGCGCAGGGGAACACTGTAGCAGTGGTGCCGCAACCTTCCCCAGGGGCTAGGCCGGTCACACCGGAAGGGTTACAAGCCAGGCTGACCAGAAAAAACAGAGAGGTGATTCGGGCAGCGAGAAAAGAAGCGGCAGCAGCGGGAGGGGGGGGAGGGGGAGCAGGGGGGGGAGTTGGGGGAGGCGGAGGGGGAGCGGGGGGGAGCGCGGATCAGGGGGGGAGTGTGAATATGTTGAAGCGGCCTTTAGCGGATGTTAAGGAGGCTTATAAGGTGGATAAAAACGAGCTGGGGCGAGGGCGGTTTGGGGTGATCCGGGGGTGCATGTGCCGCGTTTCGGGGGAGCGATTCGCGTGCAAGTCTATCAGCAAATGCATGCTGCAGGTATGTGGAGTGTTGGGAAGGAGGGGTTGAGAGGGGGGCAACAGGGGAGAACAGGGATGTGGTTAGCTGGGCGAGTGTGTGCATTTGTGACGTTGGAGGGGGGGTGTGTGTGCCGCATGTCAGATTAGAGATTCGCATGCAAGTCGATTAGCAAGGGCATGCTGCAGGTGTGTGGAGTGTTGGGGGGGGAGGGGATGTTGTTTGAGTCAGTACATTGCTGTGTGTCTGCAGGGGTTGAGCAGGTGGTGTGTGTGCCGCATTTTTGCGTGCAAGTCGATTAGCAAGGGCATGCTGCAGGTGTGTGGAGTGTTGGGGGGGGAGGGGATGTTGTTTGAGTCAGTACATTGCTGTGTGTCTGCAGGGGTTGAGCAGGTGGTGTGTGTGCCGCATTTTTGCGTGCAAGTCGATTAGCAAGGGCATGCTGCAGGTGTGTGGAGTGTTGGGGGGGGAGGGGATGTTGTTTGAGTCAGTACATTGCTGTGTGTCTGCAGGGGTTGAGCAGGTGGTGTGTGTGCCGCATTTTTGCGTGCAAGTCGATTAGCAAGGGCATGCTGCAGGTGTGTGGAGTGTTGGGGGGGGAGGGGATGTTGTTTGAGTCAGTACATTGCTGTGTGTCTGCAGGGGTTGAGCAGGTGGTGTGTGTGCCGCATTTTTGCGTGCAAGTCGATTAGCAAGGGCATGCTGCAGGTGTGTGGAGTGTTGGGGGGGGAGGGGATGTTGTTTGAGTCAGTACATTGCTGTGTGTCTGCAGGGGTTGAGCAGGTGGTGTGTGTGCCGCATTTTTGCGTGCAAGTCGATTAGCAAGGGCATGCTGCAGGTGTGTGGAGTGTTGGGGGGGGAGGGGATGTTGCTTGAGTCAGTACATTGCTGTGTGTCTGCAGGGGTTGAGCAGGTGGTGTGTGTGCCGCATTTTTGCGTGCAAGTCGATTAGCAAGGGCATGCTGCAGGTGTGTGGAGTGTTGGGGGGGGAGGGGATGTTGTTTGAGTCAGTACATTGCTGTGTGTCTGCAGGGGTTGAGCAGGTGGTGTGTGTGCCGCATTTTTGCGTGCAAGTCGATTAGCAAGGGCATGCTGCAGGTGTGTGGAGTGTTGGGGGGGGAGGGGATGTTGTTTGAGTCAGTACATTGCTGTGTGTCTGCAGGGGTTGAGCAGGTGGTGTGTGTGCCGCTTTTTTGCGTGCAAGTCGATTAGCAAGGGCATGCTGCAGGTGTGTGGAGTGTTGGGGGGGGAGGGGATGCTGTTTGAGTCAGTACATTGCTGTGTGTCTGCAGGGGTTGAGCAGGTGTGTGTGCCGCATTTTTGCGTGCAAGTCGATTAGCAAGGGCATGCTGCAGGTGTGTGGAGTGTTGGGGGGGGAGGGGATGTTGTTTGAGTCAGTACATTGCTGTGTGTCTGCAGGGGTTGAGCAGGTGGTGTGTGTGCCGCATTTTTGCGTGCAAGTCGATTATCAAGGGCATGCTGCAGGTGTGTGGAGTGTTGGGGGGGGAGGGGATGTTGTTTGAGTCAGTACATTGCTGTGTGTCTGCAGGGGTTGAGCAGGTGGTGTGTGTGCCGCATTTTTGCGTGCAAGTCGATTAGCAAGGGCATGCTGCAGGTGTGTGGAGTGTTGGGGGGGGAGGGGATGTTGTTTGAGTCAGTACATTGCTGTGTGTCTGCAGGGGTTGAGCAGGTGGTGTGTGTGCCGCTTTTTTGCGTGCAAGTCGATTAGCAAGGGCATGCTGCAGGTGTGTGGAGTGTTGGGGGGGGAGGGGATGTTGTTTGAGTCAGTACATTGCTGTGTGTCTGCAGGGGTTGAGCAGGTGGTGTGTGTGCCGCATTTTTGCGTGCAAGTCGATTAGCAAGGGCATGCTGCAGGTGTGTGGAGTGTTGGGGGGGGAGGGGATGTTGTTTGAGTCAGTACATTGCTGTGTGTCTGCAGGGGTTGAGCAGGTGGTGTGTGTGCCGCATTTTTGCGTGCAAGTCGATTAGCAAGGGCATGCTGCAGGTGTGTGGAGTGTTGGGGGGGGAGGGGATGTTGTTTGAGTCAGTACATCGCTGTGTGTCTGCAGGGATTGAGCAGGTGGTGTGTGTGCCGCATTTTTGCGTGCAAGTCGATTAGCAAGGGCATGCTGCAGGTGTGTGGAGTGTTGGGGGGGGAGGGGATGTTGTTTGAGTCAGTTCATTGCTGTGTGTCTGCAGGGGTTGAGCAGGTGGTGTGTGTGCCGCATTTTTGCGTGCAAGTCGATTAGCAAGGGCATGCTGCAGGTGTGTGGAGTGTTGGGGGGGGAGGGGATGTTGTTTGAGTCAGTACATTGCTGTGTGTCTGCAGGGGTTGAGCAGGTGGTGTGTGTGCCGCATTTTTGCGTGCAAGTCGATTAGCAAGGGCATGCTGCAGGTGTGTGGAGTGTTGGGGGGGGAGGGGATGTTGTTTGAGTCAGTACATCGCTGTGTGTCTGCAGGGATTGAGCAGGTGGTGTGTGTGCCGCATTTTTGCGTGCAAGTCGATTAGCAAGGGCATGCTGCAGGTGTGTGGAGTGTTGGGGGGGGAGGGGATGTTGTTTGAGTCAGTTCATTGCTGTGTGTCTGCAGGGGTTGAGCAGGTGGTGTGTGTGCCGCATTTTTGCGTGCAAGTCGATTAGCAAGGGCATGCTGCAGGTGTGTGGAGTGTTGGGGGGGGAGGGGATGTTGTTTGAGTCAGTACATTGCTGTGTGTCTGCAGGGGTTGAGCAGGTGGTGTGTGTGCCGCATTTTTGCGTGCAAGTCGATTAGCAAGGGCATGCTGCAGGTGTGTGGAGTGTTGGGGGGGGAGGGGATGTTGTTTGAGTCAGTACATTGCTGTGTGTCTGCAGGGGTTGAGCAGGTGGTGTGTGTGCCGCATTTTTGCGTGCAAGTCGATTAGCAAGGGCATGCTGCAGGTGTGTGGAGTGTTGGGGGGGGAGGGGATGTTGTTTGAGTCAGTACATTGCTGTGTGTCTGCAGGGGTTGAGCAGGTGGTGTGTGTGCCGCATTTTTGCGTGCAAGTCGATTAGCAAGGGCATGCTGCAGGTGTGTGGAGTGTTGGGGGGGGAGGGGATGTTGTTTGAGTCAGTACATTGCTGTGTGTCTGCAGGGGTTGAGCAGGTGGTGTGTGTGCCGCATTTTTGCGTGCAAGTCGATTAGCAAGGGCATGCTGCAGGTGTGTGGAGTGTTGGGGGGGGAGGGGATGTTGTTTGAGTCAGTACATTGCTGTGTGTCTGCAGGGGTTGAGCAGGTGGTGTGTGTGCCGCATTTTTGCGTGCAAGTCGATTAGCAAGGGCATGCTGCAGGTGTGTGGAGTGTTGGGGGGGGAGGGGATGTTGTTTGAGTCAGTACATCGCTGTGTGTCTGCAGGGATTGAGCAGGTGGTGTGTGTGCCGCATTTTTGCGTGCAAGTCGATTAGCAAGGGCATGCTGCAGGTGTGTGGAGTGTTGGGGGGGGAGGGGATGTTGTTTGAGTCAGTACATTGCTGTGTGTCTGCAGGGGTTGAGCAGGTGGTGTGTGTGCCACATTTTTGCGTGCAAGTCGATTAGCAAGGGCATGCTGCAGGTGTGTGGAGTGTTGGGGGGGGAGGGGATGTTGTTTGAGTCAGTACATTGCTGTGTGTCTGCAGGGGTTGAGCAGGTGGTGTGTGTGCCGCATTTTTGCGTGCAAGTCGATTAGCAAGGGCATGCTGCAGGTGTGTGGAGTGTTGGGGGGGGAGGAAAAGGGGAGGGGGAAAAGGGAAATGGGGAGGGGGAGAGGGGGAGAGGGGGAGAGAGAGGGGGGAGGGGGGGGGGAGGCGGAGAGGGAAAGGGGGACAGGGAGAGGGGGAGTGGGGGAGGGTAAGAGAGGAGGGGAAGAGGCGGAGGAGAGGGATGGGGTATACACGGTGGTGAGGTGCTCGTTGCAGTTGAGGGGCTAATGCCGGTGTGTGTGAATAGAGGGGGGAACTAATAGGAGTGGGGGCGAGGGAGAGAGGGAGGAGAAGATGCGTAGGAAAGAGATTGGGTATACACGGTGGTGAGGTGCTTGTTGCAGTTGAGGGGTTAACTTTTGAGACGTTTCAAAAGTCGTTGCAGTTGAGGGGTTAATGCCGGTGTGTGTGAATAGAGGGGGGAACGGATAGGAGAGGGGGCGAGGGAGAGAGGGAGGGGAGTGTGGGTGGGTGAGTGGTGTGGTGAGCTGAGCGTGTGGTGAGGTGGGATAGAGGCGATTTTTTTAATCGACTCAAGAAAGTGTGCGGGAAATAGAGGACTCGAGGAGGGGGGTTGCTTTGATTGCCTCTCAGCAGCTCAATCAAAGCTACCTTTCCTCAACCCGACTCAAGAAAGTGTGCGGGATATAGAGGACGCGAGGAGGGGGGTGGCTTTGATTGCCTCTCAGCAGCTCAATCAAAGCTACCTTTCCTTTGAAAGGTTTGATTAAGATGCTGAGAGGCCACCTTCAACACCTTTCCCTCCCCCTTCCCCCTTCCCTTCCCCTTTCCTCCTCAACCCGATTCAAGAAAGTGTGCGAGAGATAGACGACTCGAGGAGGGGGGTAGCTTTGATTGAGCTGCTGAGAGGCCACCTTTAAAACCTTTCCTTCCCCCTTCTCCTTTTCCTTTTCCCCCTTCGTCCTTTCCCATTTCCCATTCCTTCCTCTTTCCTTCCCCTTTGCTCATCCCAACAGTGCCAGCAAGACATAGAGGATGTGCGCAGGGAGGTGGCGGTGATGGAGATGCTCAAGGGGCATCCCAGCATTGTCAACCTGCGCAACGCCTTTGAGGACGCTCAGGTGACCTGTTCTCTTTGAGTGAATACAGTTTCTTGCTTTCAGAATTCTCGTAGCAAGGGTTTTTTAACTCTCTTTCTTTTCTTGCTAAAAGCTTTCTCTAGTACTGCCGCTCTTCCAAGCCATGAGTTACGACGGCCTTTGAGGACGCTCAGGTGAGGAAAGGGGGGGCCGAGCGAAGGGGCCAGGGGAGAGCAACGTGCAGGGGTGATGGCTGCTGCACTGCTGCCTGTGATGGTCGCGGTGATGGAGTTGGAGATGCTCAAGGGGCATCCCAGCATTGTCAACCTGCGCAACGCGTTTGAGGACGCGCAGGTGAGGGTGAAAGGGGTGTGGGGGGAGGGGAGGGCATATTGTTATCCATGCTGAGGTGGGGTGCTGGAGGGGCCATCCCAGCATTGTCAACCTGCGCAACGCCTTTGAGGACGCGCGGGTGAGGAATCGGGGGAGAGGCGGGCAGAAAGGCGGACAGAGGGATGGGATGGGCAGCAGGGCGGGCAGGCGAGACGTTCAGGGCAGGGGGAGGTGGGGGGCGGTCAGGAGGGAGGGGGGATGCTCAAGGGGCATCCCAGCATCGTGAACCTTCGCAACGCGTTTGAAGACGCACAGGTGGGGGGTGGAAGGCGAGATGGGGATGCGGAGGGGCAGAAGGTTGCCTGTGCTGCTGCTGTGTGTGGGGCTGGTTGGTTCTAATGGAGATGCTCAAGGGGCATCCCAGCATCGTGAACCTTCGCAACGCCTTTGGGGACGCTCAGGTGAGGGGTGGAATGGGGGGGAGGGGGAGGGGGACGGTCAGGTGAGCAGGGAGAGGGGAGGGTCGCAGGTGAGGGTAGGAGAGGGGGAAGCAGGTGCGGGGCAGCGGAGGGGGAAGCACAAGCTCACCCGCCCGATCCACCCACCGCTCACCACACCACCCCACCCAACCACATCCCTCACCACCTGTCACCAACCGAACTGACACCACCCCCCATCACCCCTCACCACCGCATCCCACCACCCCCCAGGACGTGCATCTTATCATGGAGCTGTGCGAGGGGGGAGAGCTCATACACCCACCTCCACCGCTCACCACTCCCCACCACGCCATCCCACCCCTCATCACCGCACTCCACCCCCCCAGGACGTGCATCTGATCATGGAGCTGTGCGAGGGGGGCAAGCTGTTCGACAGAAGCACATCTCCACCCACCCCACCCCACTGCACCCCACTCCTTACCACCGCTCACCACCGCAGGACGTGCATCTGATCATGGAGCTGTGCGAGGGGGGAGAGCTCTTCGACCGCATCAAGCTGCGGGGAAAGTTCCCGGAAGGCGACGCGGCGCGCGTGATTCGCACGGTGGTGCTGGTGCTGCGGCACTGCCACGGGGCGGGCATCATGCACCGCGACTTAAAGCCCGAGAACATTCTCTTGGTGTCGAATCAAAGCGATACCGATCTGAAAGTGATTGACTGGGGTGTCGCTACCTTCTTCCAGAAAGGTGAGCTCTTGCTGCTGCTGCTGCTATGTTGTGATCGGCTGGCTGTGGTTGGTGCTGCTGCTGCTGTGTTGTGGCTGGCTGCCTGGGGTGATCCGCACGGTGTCAGCCGTGCTTGCTGTGCTGTGGCTGGCTGCCCCACGGTGCTGCGGCACTGCCCCTGGCCACCAGGCCTCCGCAGCCCACCTGTCCGTTACTGACACGCACTGCCCCACTGCCGGCATGACCGCGACTCAAAGCCCCTACTTGCTGCTGTGCGTGTGGCTAGCTATGCCGTGTGACTTTTGAGGCGCCTCAAAAATCTTGAGGTGGTTTTTTGAGGCGCTTCAAGAATCACCTCAATGAAAGTCTTTGACTGGTGCCCTACATGTTGCTGTGCGTGTGGCTAGCTATGCCGTGTGTCCTGCGCCTACCCCCCTTCTGAGCCGCCACCCACCACCAATGCCATCTGCCAAACCAAACGTCCTGTCCCCCCCAGGCAAGCCGTGCACGGGCATGGCAGGGAGCCCCTACTACCTTGCTCCGCGCCAGAGGTCCTAGCCGAAAAGTACGGCCCAGAGGCGAACATCTGGAGCACCGGGGTGGTGCTCTACACTACATCCTGCTGTGCGTGTGGTCATGCCGCCCTTGTGGGGTACCACCAACCCTTTTGAGGCACCAGCCACCAGCTTCGAGGTGCCTCGGTGCCCTCCCTTCCTCTCCCTCCCTCCACCCCTCCCCTCCCCAGGCAAGCCGTGCACGGACATGGCGGGCAGCCCGTATTATCTCGCGCCAGAAGTTTTAGCAGAGAAGTACGGCCCAGAGGCCGACATCTGGAGCGCAGGGGTGGTGCTCTGCACTACATCCTGCTGTGCTGTGCGTGTGGTCATGCTGTGTCCCCCATCCAACCCCCCCTACCCCCCAGGCAAGCCGTGCACGGACATGGCAGGGAGCCCGTTCTACCTCGCGCCAGAAGTTTTAGCAGAGAAGTACGGCCCAGAGGCCGACATCTGGAGCGTGGCGTGGGGGTGGTGCTCTACATCCTGCCGTGCAGCCTGCCGCCCTTCTGGGGCACCCACCAATATTGCTATCTTCTGAATCCCTCGTTGCCCTCCCTTCCTCTCCCTCCCTCCACCCCCTCCTCCTCCTCCCCAGGCAAGCCGTGCACGGACATGGCAGGCAGCCCGTACTACCTCGCTCCAGAAGTTTTAGCCGAAAAATACGGCCCGGAAGCGGACATCTGGAGCGCGGGGGTGGTGCTCTACATCCTGCTGTGCGGCCTGCCGCCCTTCTGGGGCACCACCAACGACGCTATTTTTGAGGCACCAGCTACCAGCAATACCACCTTTGAGATTCTTCAGTGCCTTCCTTTCCCCTCCCTCTCTCTCCCAATTTCCCAGGCAAGCCGTGCACAGACATGGCAGGGAGCCCTTACTACCTGGCCCCCGAGGTGCTCGCAGAAAAATACGGACCTGAAGCCGATATCTGGAGCGCGGGGGTGGTGCTCTATATCTTGCTGTGCGGCCTTCCGCCCTTCTGGGGCACCACCAACGACGCTATTTTTGAGGCCATCAAGCAGGCGACGCTGAACCTCGTGAGGCCTCCGTGGCCGTCGATCTCGGACGAGGCGAAAGATCTAGTGGTCAGGATGCTCACGCGGAACCCCAAGAAGAGGATCAGTGCCGAAGAGATTCTTGGTACGCTTGGGATTTTTTAAGTTGTGAGGAAATGTCTGTTTCAGTGACCGACAGTTCGTTTCAATCGCTGGGTGTTCAATCATTGCTTTTTTTGCTCAATGCATTAGTTCTTGTTTCGCTTGCAATATGTTTTTTGCATGAATGCATGCTTATTTATTCTATTGCCTGAATGTGCACTTCAGTGACTGAATATTCACTAGATTGATTTATTGCCCATCTCATTGAGCGACCAAACATTTCAATGCTCATTCCAATGTCACCATCCCCCATTGTCACCATCCCCACTGTCACCACCCCTCATTGTCACCACCCATCATTATCACCATCCCCCAATATCACTATCCCTTATCGTCACCATCCCCCACCGTCACCATCCCCCACCGTCACCATCCCCCACCGTCACCATCCCAACAATCCTTCCAGATCACCCGTGGTTCGCGCCAACACCAGCTGACCCCAGCCCCTCGGTCAAGACTTGAGTTGACTTTTGAGACGACCCAAAAGTCATTTCTACCACCCCCCACCCCACCCCCACTGTCGCCACCCCTCAACGTCACCCATCCCAACAATCATTCCAGACCACACCAGCTGAACCCAGCCTGTCAAAAAAGGCTTTAATGTCACCACTTCTCACTGTCACCAACCTCCACTGGCACCCCCTCCAATCCTTCCAGATCACCCGTGGATTCGTGCCAACACCAGCTGACCCAGCGTCTCAGTCAAGACTCTAGATGACGCGCGGCTACCAGAGGTTACCAGCCGACCTTGGTTACAAAACCTTGACAGATCAGCATGCCATAGGGATTGGTTAGCAGGAATGACTGGTCTCTCTCCTGATCAGCAGGTGCCACTGCCAGTGCCACTGCACCACAACAGCATCTTCAGAGTTTGGTTGAAACGGAACAAGGGTGGGCTTGGCTCAGGATGCAAGTGCATCAAGAAGGCTTTAGCAGAGCGGCTCGTTCTTTGTTGAGAATTTGTTCATTGGGCTGGCTGGCAGACATGTGTGGCTCAGTCTACACTTCCACGCCCCCTTACCCCTCCTCCCTTCCCTTGACCTGCGCTTCCCCAACAGTGCTATTTATGCTCTACCGTATGTTACATTAATGAGGGGTTATGGTGCAATAACTTTTCAAGCATGCTGTTTTCCTTCTGCTTTAGCTTGGGTGTGGGAGAAGCTGTTACAGAAGTGAGTGAATGGTTTGCTACAGCATTGTTGGTTGCTGCACTGGGAGCCTTGGCAGGTTACTGTAGTTTCGATCAATGTCAACAAAGCTTGCTGAATGGACCCGCTGATCATACATACAGCAGGACTATGGTTTTAGTCAGTGGCTCAGTATGGCACTGTAGTCTGCTTGTCATTTAGGGTGGAACTGGAAGTGCTTCATTGGAACTCACTTTCATGTGATCCTCCTTGAGCACCCTGCTTGTAAAGTATTCACCCTCCTCTCTTAGTACTTGTGTACAGAATCCTGTTATTGAGGTGTACGTTTTCAATATGGCACAAACGAATAATCTAGCTTTTATTCCCTGCGGACCAGGTCTCTGCGGTGCGGAGGCACCACTTCACTCCACATAGCCTTGATAGCTCAGAGCTCGCGTCCTCCAATGCCACAGGGTGCTCCCTAGATAACTCTTTCAAGCACGGTAGCTCGCATACGGCCATCACAGGCTGTGGTCAGGCTAACCCAGTAGAATGTTGAAATGTAATATCTTGATATGCTCATAAAGCAGCAGATATGCACACACACATCACATAAACAAAGCAGATTTACACGGTGCGCTGCGAAGGAGACAAGCCTCCATGAAAATCGCACACCAGAAAGAAAGACCATAAACACCCAGCAACCCCCATCCCACCAGGGGATGAGTTTCAACCATCGCTCTACCATGGAAAATATATATCCAGCGTTCCAGCCTGAAATCACGACTAAATTAAAACCCCGAGATTAGATGGCTGTCAGATCGCACTCGCTCCCCACTTGCGACATTTGTCTGAAGCGCATCTTCTGATCCACGACGAACGTGGAGCCGCACAGCTGGCCCTGGCTGTCGATGTGCGGCACGGCCTTGAGCATGCGATCAGGGTGCTCGTAGCTGTTCAGTCCCGCTGCCGTGGAGAAGTAGCAACCTGCACGGGAAAATAGTCGATTAGATATTGGTTAGAAGTTGACCAGCACGAAGTGAAAGGCGATATAAGATGCGAAGCGACACTGCGATCAAGGGGGAAGAAAAGGAGAAAAACTTCCGCCATGACCAGCGACGGGATGGCGAAACTACGATTTCGTACCCTTGGGGAAGGGAGCGAAGGAGCGTCCACAGTTCTTCCTGAGCGTGTCGCACTTATCCGAAATCGCCAGAACCGAGTCCTTGCACAGTCCCCAGTACAACGGTCGCTTCCCATACGCGTCCTGAGCGACAAACACCTTCTTCTGCTTCTGGTCGTACAGCACGAACGAAAACGGACCCCGGAACTCCGAGAGGGCGTGTTCAACGGTGCATGGAGCTCTGTCTCGCAGCGTCTTGTAGACTTCGATCACGAACGCGGCCTCGCAGATCCGGTACCGCGTGAGACCGTACGCTACCCGCATTTGCGGGAGGTTCTCGAGGTTCCCGACGAAGGTGCAGAAGATGTCGTCGCACGAGGCAAATTGTCTGGAGACAGAACAGGATCAACATAAGAACGAATCAGTTCAAGTTGGCCAACTCGGGAGAGAAACGACGTTTGAGAAGGCAACGAACGCAACCATTAACGTCCCCCTTGTCAAATTGTAGTGCTGAAGATATGCGACGACCTCAGTAGTGCTGTTGTTATTACCTGCCGCCATCCCCTGTAAAGGCAATCTCGAGGTTGTCATCGAAGTGCAGCACTGTAGCCGAAGAATTGTTCTTCAGGAAATCTCCGACAGCGGCACCTCCCGAGTGAACGTTACCCGGGTCTGCTGCGTCCGCAAGAGCGCACTGAAGCTCGGGTTGGCTGGGAGCCACACCCTTGTGGAAGATGGTAAACATGTTGGTAGGATTTTAAATTGACTTCGGATGGGTTTTCACGTGGGATACGTTACGACGGTGCGACGGGGCAACCGGGAGGCTCGGATGAAGCCTGACGTTGCGTCAGAGCCTGGGATCGAGCTGGCTTCGCTTGCTCGGAACGAACAGAAAGGCCGTTCTGATGCGAGCAGAGCAATGGCAGGTAGCAAAAGCTGAAATGATGTCTCAGCTTGACTGAACGTGAACCTCCGTTTCCAGCTGAACGCTGGGGTAGCAAAGGCTGTTGAAAGAAGCACTGGAAAGCCGTTCGTGAATGATTGACAAAAACAAAGGAATATAAGTGACGCGAAGATACCGCTCGTTACTAGGAGACTCGACCAGAGTGAGCTGAGAACACCGAAGCGCGTGTCATTCGGCCCAGACGAGTCACCGAAATCATTGTGGAGACGAGAGTCAATCATCCCAGACGCTTCTCCCCGTGTGCTGGAGAGGAAGTTGAGGTGAGGGCGTGTTCTTTTAATAATCAAGCAACAAGATCGTAAATTTTGACGGCCAGATATGGAGATAGGGGCAGAACACTGACGTGACACGATCGTAGCTGTTGCTTAGTGACAAAAGTAGGGTGCACCGTGTTTGCTTTGTGTCACGAGAGGCCAAGAGGGTTCGGGGAGATATGATGCCTGGCGAGAGTGCTCGGGGTCTGTGGAAGACGTCGTAGACTCGTAGGAGCATCCGGAGAAGATGGATTGCTAAGCATTTGCCATCCTGTATCCCTTGCAGCCAGTAGAAAGACGCGCGCCTCGTTTGGCACGTACAGATGCATCATTCTAGGAGAAGGCGGATGATGAGTCGATGAGTTGGTGATGCGCTGTATGGGATCAAATGCACTGATTTTGAGGGCCCCGCGACTCGGTGACACAGCTGAAAGGCCAGCTCTGCTGAAAAAATGAGTCATGCGAGTAGAACTTTGGCGTGGCACGCCCGAGATATACAGGTGATTTGCATCTGCCAGCGAGGGGATGACTAGACAGTCAGCACATTGGGCCTTCGCACGCGTGGAATTAGCGATGCTGTTGCGGACTGTTTGGACAACCTCCACATGATGGATCCCCCCTGACCTGGACGTGGGCGATTCCAAGTCACGTTGAGCGTGCGGTGACCGTGCTTTGATTTCAGACAAACAGGAGTCCACACAAAACACCTCTGTTGGGAGTGATCCTTCTGGGAGTTCGGGTTTCGGGTTGTTAGCACTTTACGAAAGGGTTTACTAGGGCCTAGTTTTTCCTTTCTGTGTCTTGTACAAATGATGTATATACGAATTTTACTGTAAGTTCATGAATTCTAAATACGTGTTCTCAACGAGGGGTCTAAACAACTCCTGTGATTTCATAGTTAAGGGGCTAGGAAAGTGACACCTAATACTTGTTTTTTTGCAAATAATTTATATCCCTCAGTGGTTGTACCACTTCACATTTAGACCCTCACTCTTTGAAAACCATCCATGGTCAGCTCAGCTACTACGATTTCGGCATAAATTCAGCGTAATTTCAGACCTCGTGGCACATTAAAGACATGGTTGTCCTTACCGTAATTAGGGGGTATGTTTTCATAAACAGAAGTTCCTGTAATACTCTGATACGTCAGCCCTGGTTTGAATGTTGAATGCACCTGATCGAATCGTTTATAAAAAAAGGCTAAAAACGAACCAGGACATTATATTCCACTCCATATTCGCCCTATAGCGCGCGTATCTACAGGAATTTCCGGGTTGCAATGTTTCGGGACGTAGGTAGACGTTAGGCGTTGCGAGAAGAAAGCTGCGGAATGGGAAAACCCTGAGTGAGACAACACAAGAACATCAGTTGACGCTAGAAGCAGCCAATCCACGACAATATCAATGTATGTCGATGCTCCCTTTGCCTTGGTCGATTGTGCTGACGAGGATGGCGAGGTGAAATTGGTATCAGCAGTGGGTGTCAGAATGTTGGCATGTAGAGGGACGATATCTGAAATCATCACCTGCCATTAACGAGGATAATCATAAGGAGTCATTTGGAAAAAGGTATGCCGTGGAACTTAGAAGCATGGCAGGTGGTTGCATGAACCCACAACCTGTCACTCAACCAAGCAGGATGATGACAATAGGAAGGCACGAGTCCGCATGGGACAGAGAGTTTTTTTAGCTGAAGGGTACACTGCTTACGTAAGAAATGTTCGGGTCGACTTTTTGAGTCACCTAAAAAAAATGTACCTACTCAAAATAGAGGGAAAAAACGCTGACATTGTGAGGGTATTTGGGCCGGAATCCTAACTTGAGCTCATAAGATTTGACTCTTGAGTCGACCCAAAAAGGAGATAGAGAAGCACACACCCTGTCCGGGTACTTGAGTCGAAGAGCCGTCTTGAGCTCGTGAGAGTTGAACCAGAGGCTGACTCAAAAGTCACCTGAAACCTTCGACTTGAGTCGAAAGAGGGAGAGGAGCACACACCTTGTCAGGGTACTTTAGTCGAAGAGCCGTCTTGAGCTCGTGAGAGTTGCTGATGACAAGCCAGCGAACCATGGTGGGAGCCGGCATCCACCATGCCTCCAGCTTCTACAGGAACACGAAGCAGGGAGCATTGGGGGCACAGGGAAGGTGTATTTAGCGTCGACTCAAGAGCGCACCCACAAGGCCTCCCGCACACAATGGTGGGAGCTGGCATCCACCATGCCTCCAGCTTCTAAAGGGCGGAAAACAGGGGCGCGGGAAAAAAAGGAAGGACAGTAAGTGAACGGGACGGTAGAGCGAGGCATGGGAAAGAAGAGAAGAGTGGGAAAACAGGAAGTCGCTGCTAGGGAGAGGCAGGTCACTTTGAGCACACACACTCGTAAATGAAATGAATAGCCCATTCGACACCCACCTCTTCACATACTGAGATGTCCCAATAATTCAAACTGTAAGCCACCTTGGCACATGCAAACATGACTATCCAAACAATCAGACACCAAACTCTAGTCCCAGCGCACACCTCAGCACATGCAATGTCGCCCTCACTTTCGCCCTTATCCCACGACATGAGCTCTTGAGATGTCTTAAAGCCCACCCCCCTCGGCACATGCAATGTCGCCCTCAGTGTCGCCCTCAATGTCGCCATTATCCCATGCCATGAGTTTTTGAGATGTCTTAAAGCCCACCCACCTTCGCACATGCCATGTAATCCTGAAGTGTGCCACGCCATAGGTGTGCCTCTCCCCGTCTCATTCATAGCCTTGGGATATCGAGATTGAGTTTTGAGACGCCTCAAAGTTCACCCATCTGGGCACATGCAATGTAGTCCTCACCCCACGCCATCATCTTTTCCTTATCCGTCTCATTCATAGCCTTGGAATCTCCGAACCACTTCGTACACATGCAACGCGCAACCGCACCTATTCAGACAGCGAAACCCCACCCTACCAACCCCCTTAATTCCCTCCCCACCCACCCACCTGGGCACATGCAATATAGTCTTCAGCCCACGCCATGAGCTTTCCTTATCCGTCTCACTCATAGCCTTGGGATCTCCAAACCCTTCTACGCAACGCAAGGAGCAACCACACCTATTCAAACCGCGAAACCCCACCCACCAAACCCTCAACACCTCCCCCCCCACCCACCCACCTGGGCACATGCAATGTAGTCTTCAGCCCACGCCATGAGCTTTTCCTTATCCGTCTCACTCATAGCCTTGGGATCTCCAAACCCCTGCTGGCCCTGCCACACGAACTTGTCCGGTGCTCTCATGTGTATGCCCACCACCGCCACCCTATGGCCCGAACCTCCATGTGACGCCCCATGTGAATGCCCATGAGAGGATAGATGGGAGGTGCGTGAGTGGCTGGTGGTGAGATGCTGGAGGGGGGCGGAGGGAGAGGAGGAGGAGGAGGAGGCGAGAGGCGCGAGGAGTTGATGATACATAGCTTGCAGTTTTGAGATCACTTCTGGTTGCGGCCTGGTGGGGGGGGATGGATAGGAAGGGGGTTGGGGGAGTGGGGAGGGCATGAACGTTTTTTATTGATCGAACTTGTCCGGGGCTCTCATGTGTATCCCCACCACCGCCACCCTATGGCCCGGGAGGCCATGGGAAGACCCATGTGTGAGGCATGAGAGGATAGATGGGAGGTGCGTGAGTGGTCGGTGGTGAGATGCTGGAGGGGGACGGAGGGAGAGGAGGAGGAGGAGGAGGAGGAGGAGGAGGAGGAGGAGGAGGAGGAGGAGGAGGAGGAGGAGGAGGAGGAGGAGGAGGAGGAGGAGGTGAGAGACGCGAGCAGTTGATGATACATGGCTTGCAGTTTTGATATGACTTCGGGGTGTGGCCTGGTTGGGGGGGGAAGGAAGGGGGGGACGGGGAGGAAGAGGAAGGGGGGGACGGGGAGGAAGGCATGAGTGCTTTTGGTGGACTGAACACAAAGGAGAGCAGTTGACGGTACATGGCTTGAACGTTTGATATGACTTCTGGCTGCGGCCTGGTGGCAGGGAGGGAGAGGGAGGGGGGTGGGGCTTGGGTAGGGCATGAGTGTTCTTCACTGATCGGACTGAACACAAAGGAGAGCAGTTGACGGTACATGGCTTGAACGTTTAATTTTGCCTACTGGCTGCGGCCTGGTGGGGGGCATGGTGGGGAAAAGGGGGGGTCGGAAGGTCATGAGTGATTCTGGTCGACCGAGTGAAGACAACGGAAAGCAGGGGGTGGTACATGGCTTGAAGTTTTGATATGCCCTCTGGCTGTGGTCTGGTGGGGGAAAAGGTGGGGGGGGGGGGGAGAGGGTGAGGAGAGATAGGGGTGGAGAGGGGTGGGAAGGGGCCGAGTTGGGACATGCGCGTGTTCGGTCGATTGGACTGAACACAACAAGAGCAGGGGGTGGTACATGTGTTGTACTTCTAACTTTTGAGTACGTCTGAGTACTTTTGAAATGACGTCTGCCTATGGTCTGGTGGGGGAAGTAGGGGGAGGGGGGGTTAGCGTGGGGGCTAAGAAGTTGATAAAATAGCACCATATACTAGAGCTATGTGAGGTGTGAGCAGAATACGAGCGACAATAAAAACATAGGTAAGCTGATAATAGGAAGCCAAGGATGAAGCCAAAGGCGTAGGAAGGAGGGCGCAGTGAGGGAGGGCGCATGGGAGAGAGCTAATATAACAACACAGTGTGACAATAGGATAGGAACGTACTTGAGGAGGAAGCGCAGTATGCAGCCAAAGGCGTAGGGAGGGCGTATGCCTAAAGCGTGCATACTGGCAGTCCATTTCTTCCCCACCGCCTGTGGGCAACGCGGTGAGGTGGGTTAGAGAGCACAGGAGCACATAAGCACATAGGTAGCGCACACATGAACACAATTGGCAGGGAGGGCAAGTGTCCCTGGCGTGCAGTGCAGGCTAGCCGTCCATCTCTTCCCCACCGCCTGTGGGCAAGCCGGTGAGGTGGAGAGCACGATAAGAAAGATGAGGGAGCGTGCATGTGATGCATATAAGGGAAGGGACTTTCGAGGCGCCTTAAACGGCTAGCCGTCCATCTCTTCCCCACCGCCTGTGGGTAAGGAGGTGAGGTGGAGAGAGCACGATAAGAAAGATGAGGGAGCGTGCATGTGATGCATTCGGGAGTTATGATTCAACGATTCAGGTTTAGGATTTCGGGTCTAAGAGTTTTCTTTCTCTTTAAACCGTTCCGAAATTACGCCTTCCCTCCACACCACCACTCCACAACCCCAGACCTGGGGGAGCAGGTACGTGAGCAGATTCCTATTCCACGACACACGGATGCTCATCATCTTATCCAGCCAGCCCCCAAAGACGCTTCTGAATTGTTTCAATAATCACCTCTTTCCTCCAAACCACGACTCCCCCTCACCTGTGCGAGCAGGTAGGTGAGCAGCCCTCTGTTCCAGGACACGCGGATGTTCATTGCCCTATCCAGCACCGCAAAGATCGCCTTTTCCAAGTCGTCTCAGGGACCACTTCTTTCCCCCGCACCACCACGCCACTCCATTCCCCTCACCTGGGCAAGCAAGTATGTGAGCAGAGACCCCTGTTCCACGACACGCGGACGTTCATCGCCCTATCCAGCACCGCTAACTACTCCTGTTCTGAGTCCTTTCAAGAAACACCTCTCTTCCACCACAGCACCACTACACCCACCTGGGCGACCCACCAAACCTTTCCTCCTCACCTGTGCAAGCAAGTACGTGAGCAGACCCCTGTTCCACGACACGCGGATGTTCATCGCCCTATCCAGCACCGCAAAGAACTCCTCTGGATCCACAAACCGGTTCCTCAGATTCGTTCAACGATCTCTGAAACACCCACCTGTGCGAGCGGGCAGTGAGCAGGCCTCTGTTCCTCGTTCTAGTCCCTTCAATAAACACCTCTTCCTTCCACACCACAGAACCTCTCCTCCTCACCTGTGCAACCCACCAATCCACACCTCACCTGTGCAAGCAAGTACGTGAGCAGACCCCTGTTCCATGACACGCGGACGTTCGTCGCCCCATCCAGCACCGCAAAGAACTCCTCTGGTTCCACAAACCGATTCCTCAGATTCACTATCACCACCTCCCCCTCCTGCACCAACTCCCCCTCCCCTCCTCCTCCTCCTCCTCCTCCTCCTCCTCCTCCTCCTCCTCCTCCTCCTCCTCCTCCTCCTCCTCCTCCTCCTCCCCCTCTTCCTCCTTCCCCTCCTCCTCCTTCTCCTCCTCCTCCTCCCCTCTCTCCCACTCTCGCCAACACTTCATCGACCGTCAGCCTCCGAGCCGGCTCATAAGGCACGTCCGGCCCGAACGACCAATCAACGAGGTTCGGCGCGAACGCAAGCGGGAGGTACGGGTGCCGGACGATGAAGGCTCGGCGCGTGAGGAGCGCGCAGGCAAACGCGGTGGCTAGCCCGGTGATATAATCCCCCAACCCTCCAGGCTCGTCAAGCCATTCGAAGGTTAGGAAGCGAATGGATGGGTCTAAACGGGGCTGGGGGTATGCGGGTGGGGGAGGAGGGGACGGAGGAGGGAGGGGCGGGGGTGCTGGTGATGATGGTGATGGTGATGATGATGGTGACAGTGGTGGTGGCGGTGGTGGTGGTGGTGGTGGTGATGCTGTTGCTGCAGCACCAGCAGCAGCAGCAGCAGCAGCGGCTGCGGCGGCGGTTTGGGCGAGGGTGGGGGCGTGAGAGCGGGCGGTTTCGCGGATGCGCGCGTGCAGAGCAGCATAGTCTGTCGCCCAGGTCCCACAGAGTGCGTCGGAATAGGAGAAGTCCAGGAAGGGCGCGAGGGGGGAGGCGGACGCATGCAGGGAGGCCGGAAGCTGGTGGTATGAGGAAGGAAGGGGAGGAAGAGGGAGGGGGGGGAGTGGGGGAGGGGAAAAGGTGGGGGACAAATGGGTGCAGGAAGGCATAGCGAGTCACCCAGGAGACACGGAGGGCGTCTGAGAAGGAGACATCTAGGAAGGGCGCGAGGGGGAAGGTGGGGGCATGCAGGCGGAAAGGGGAGGGCGGACGGTGGAATGGGGGAAGAGGGGAAGGGGAGAAGGAAGAAGGTGGGATGGGGACAAGGGGAGAAGGGGAGGAGGGGGGGAGAGGAGAAGAGGAGAATGTGACAAGAGAAGAAGGTGACAAGGGAAGAAGGGGGACGGGCAGAAGAGGGGGAAGAGGGGATGGGTTACCAAGAAACGGTTGGTGGTGGTTTATCAGAGTAGTGGTTAGGTGAGCATAAATGGGTGCGAGGGGGAAGAGGGGATGGGTTACCAAGGAACGGTTGGTGGTGGTGGGTGAGCATAAATGGGTGAGAGAGGGAATGGGTGGTCGGAAGAAGTAAGGTGCGACCCAATGAAGGAGACTTGATACTTGAAGGAACAAGACTCTACTTACAAAAAAAAAATCGTAATATGGAGCATAATTCACTGATCCTCAGAACGAGACTTCCAATAAGCATTTTGAGCCAGTCCGGATCATTCTAAAGCCCGGATCACTTGAGTAAATTCGGATCACTTGAGTAAATTCGGATCACTTGAGTAAATTCGGATCACTTGAGTAGATTCGGATCACTTGAGTAAATTCGGATCACTTGAGTAGATTCGGATCACTTGAGTAGATTCGGATCACTTGAGTAGATTCGGATCACTTGAGTAGATTCGGATCACTTGAGTAGATTCGGATCACTTGAGTAGATTCGGATCACTTGAGTAGATTCGGATCACTTGAGTAGATTCGGATCACTCTGTCAGAGGGTTTTACACGCTGTCTGAGCCGTTTCATGATCTGTCTGTCTGAGCCGTTTCCTACTCTGTTTGAAACATTTGAGATTGTATGAAGTGTATCTTACTCTGTCTAAGGCGTTTCATACTCTGTCTAAGGCGTTTCATACTCTGTCTAAGGCGTTTCACACTCTGTATAAGGCGTATCATGTTTCTAAGGCACTTCAGGGTTTGGATTCATCTGGGTGACGAACCGAGCCTATGTATGAAACACGACTCACAAAGAAGGCAATCTCATAAAGAACAGTACACGAGGCTGCAAATGTGATAAAAACGAAGGTTGAGCCTTCATTAACAAGCTCAACAACCACCTTGGACACGTTGAGTCATCCCCTCTCCTCAAACGGTCCTTTGGACTAGTACTGTACTCTCCCGCCCCACCAGAAACTTGTTTTGAAGTGTCTGGAATGGGAGGACTCCCAAAGAAGGCGAGCGAGCGTTGGACCAGCTAAGGCGAGCGAGCGTTGGACCAGCTAAGGCGAGCGAGCGAGAGCGCGAGCGAGAGAGGAAGATGCAAAGCGACTTTCACCGACTCACGACGGTCCTAAACTTTAGTGTTTAACTAAAGCTAAAGGCTTTCTGTGTGTGGAATGAGCGGACTCACAAAGGCTACGGCGAGCAAGAGGGCGTAGAAAGTGACCGCATCATGCGCTCTCCATCTCCTCCGCCGCCTCGTATTTTGAGACGCCTCAGAAGTCGCAGGTTGCATCCATCGCCGTTTTCGGAGAGTTGTTTGAGACGTCTCAACGGTCACATTATTCTGATGCTGTCTTCTCCGTGCACCCGCAGTACTACGTTGCAGCGTCGCACCCAACGTAATACCACGTTGCTGCTCCGCACCCGACATACGACTACGTTGCTGCTCCGCACCCAACGTACGACTAAGTTGCTGCTCCGCACCCAACGTACGACTACGTTGCTGCTCCGCACCCGTGCGCTGCTTTGCACCCAGCATTCGCTGTTTTCCGCACGCCCACTCTTTTCCCCCCACCGTCTCGAACCGAGCAGCACCTAGCAGGCTACTCCTGCACCCGACAGCGGCGGCTGCAGCATTGTCGTCGCCAAGGAGTGGTAGTAGGGACCATGCAGTCGCGGCCCGCTTAGTAAGAGCCGATTAATATCGAGGCGCCTAAAAAAACGGCTGCATTGTCGTCGCCAAGGAGTTGTAGTAGAATAGGGACCGTGCAGTCGCGCTTACTACGAGAGATGACTAATATCGAGGCGCCTCAAAGGCGGATGCATCATCCTCGCCAAGGAATGGTTGAGGCTGCAGTCGGGCATAGATCCACAGCTCTAGGCTTAATGATCGTGATAAGTTCGAAAGGTTACACGATGATCATACGTGATGAAAAAATCAAAAGTTCACAAAAGCTAATCACAGCGTACAGATTATTCACATAAGCTAACGTTCAATGGTTGTCGGATTGACGTCCGATGTCCATCTGCTGACAATGGTAGTCAGTCAGTCAGTCAAGGGCTGACTAGGAGGTGTGGGTGTCATGTCATGTCAGGTCGTCGTCAGTCCTTGACTGATTGACAGCCATTGATTGACAACATACATGTATTGGACAATGACCCCCACACCTCCTAGATGTACGTTTCTTGTTTCTCTGTAACTGATTCTCGGAAATCCGTCGGCCGGTAAGTCGTGGGACTGTGCATTGACTTCAAGCACGCGTGATCGGATGGGAATTTCATTCTAGCACAAATGGATGGGGCCTTGGGAGGAAGAAACGTGGGAAAGAGCGAGGGAAGCACTGTAGCTTGGTGCGAGAGAGGAGGAAGAGTAAGGAAGGACGGCAGGTTTCCAGCCAGAATGCTAGAGAGCTCCTTCAACGACTAGACCTGACCAAAGGGCTTGGTAGAATCTGGCTTGAGCTTTTCGAGAATGGATGGGAAGTTTTGAGTCTCGGCTCGAACAGCCTGATGATGAGGAAGAATGGCCTGCAGGTCTGTGTGTGCGTGCTAGGGAATTCATGTTCCAGATGAATCCAAGACTGGGGTAATCCGGTTTTCGTGAAGGTCGGACTCGGTTTAATTAAACAAAAAAACGCTTTACAGAGTGGCGCTAAGTGGCTGGACCTCCAGCTCAAAACCAAGGATGTTGTATGGAGAGAGGCAAATCCTTCCAGACCACCGATAACTGCACCGCACCACCTCACAGTTCCCTCGAGTATCTGCATAAAAAGCATCGGTATGCGAGGCTCGATGTTACGAACAAGAAGGCTGAAAAGTTGGGGAACAAAACAAGGTGACTATGCTATGATAATCTACTAAAACGAACAGTCAAGCACTTCAGCAAGTGCACCTTCATTGCAATATGTTGGCACACACACAAAAAACCACTCCCAAGATATCGTATAGTGTAGTGTAGTGTTCACCATACACATCATTGGGAGAAGATAAAGATCCCTTTGATGGTGCTCATGTTGCTACAGTGGCCATTTCTGCTCCAAATTCATTTAACCCATATTGGCATCTGTTACAGGCCAGAGAACAAACAATCGCACACTGTGGCTTCCAACCTGGGCGTTCAGGTCTTTAGAGCCGGCAGAGTTTATGGTGTAGTCCTGCACCACAGATAATAACACCACGGAAAGCATACTTTTAAAAAACATTTGTGCTGCATCGTTGTGTATGTGTAAGTGTATGCATGTCTGCATGTGCTTGCATGCACGTGCGTGCCTGCATGACTATGTACTTGGAGTGAGGGGTACGAAGGCTGGAAAAATAAAATAAAAATAAAAGGTGAGAAGGGGATGCAGGAATTTACAGGCATCATGTGGTGGACATACATACCTTCCACAAGTCTCGCGCATGCATTTTCTGCTCCGGATTCAGCCCAATCTCTTCCCAACTGACAGTCACATTCTCGCTCCTCACACCACGGTTCACCAATGCCACCACTTTCCGACCCTCAGATAGAGACCCCACCCAGACCTGCAGGTTTGGGAACAAATAGCACTGTACAAGGACAGAAATTAGGATTGTGATACCAAGGCATTTGAAGTAGCTTATTTGCAGAATGGAATGCAAATGCAAGGCATAGCGTGGAAGAGAGGATTTTGATAATCTCACTTTTACTGAGGAATTCTTGGATAGCTGCAACTCCTGCGCCTGCACTCCCAATGAATCTGCACCAATAACAATACAGCATGTGTCAGCAATACTCAGGCAGGTGACATGCAGTCATAAGCCAGACTGTCAACATGATTTTATCACTACCCATGCCATCAACAGTAGCAATATCCCACAAGTGAAGGAAACCACATCAATTTTAACCATACATTGTACATCTGCACGACCTGATATCTTGACCTGTATGCATGCACCGCTTGCAAGAACGCCAAGTCTGATTGGGCACATACCTTGGTTGAGAGCAATGGCCTCATCGGTGCTCAGGATGCTCATGGCTGGCTTCGATGCAGCAGAGAGAGCGCAGGCCGGCAGGAGTGGCGCCTGGTGGGAGGTGAAAAGGTGGGTGCTATTAAGTTGAGTGCAGTGCAGAAGAGGTTGGTGCGAGAAGCTGTGTGTGCGCACGCACAGGCGTGCATCCATGAATGCATGTGTGCATGCATGGAGCATTTTGTATGCGCGCATGCATATACGCATGCATGCATGCATGCATGCATGCATGTGTCTGTGCATGCATGCAAGAGTGTGTCTTTACCTTCATGATGGCCCAGCGATTGAAGTGCACATGGTGCACCCACTCTCCCTTGCCCAACTTCACCACCTGCAGAATGTCCAAGTCTGATACAGGAGGGAGACAATAGTGGAGGCAGGGAAAGAGAATTGGGGAGTGGGGGGTTGAGAGAGAGAGTTAACAACACATGAACACCTTGTGACACGCCTTGAACGTGTGGCGACACTTGCGGCAACACTTGAACGCATTGCGACGCTTGCGGCAACACTTGAACGCATTGCGACGCTTGCGGCAACACTTGATCGCGTGGCGACACTTGCGGCAGCACTTGAACGCGTGGCGACGCTTGCGGCAACACTTGAACGCCACCGTAAGAAGTCAACTCGTGTGTGTGTGGCTGCACGCACCATTCCAGCTGCGAGGGTCGGCATATTTGGCCCACTTGCTGTTGGCGTCCGAAACCCAAGTCACACTGCATGTGACATTTGCATACAGGTGTGCAGGCAAGGAGGCACGGTACATGCATGCATGCAGGCAGGCAGGGAGAAAAGAAGAGTTAGAAGATATAATATGGGCATTGTCCTTCCATCTCTCCCTCCCTCCATACTCCATCTAACTCAATCCTCTCCATCGCCCTCCCACACCCCTTGATTTTCCTCAAAATTACACCAACCACGTGTCACTCCTCCCTTCAGCCACGTGTCCCTCACCTCCTCCACGTGTCATCAATGGCAAGGGTGTTGCGCCAGGGATCTGCCACGCCATACGCCCACAGAGCAGAGCTGTCCTGTCCCCTGCAATCAGCAGCACACGTGGCACAATGAGTTAGCAATACACATGGAAGAAGGAGGTAGCATAGCAGCACACGTGGCAGAATGAGGTAGCAGTACACATGGTAGAAGGAGGTAGCCAGCACACGTGGCAGAATGACTTCACAGTACACGTGGAAGGAGGTTGCAGCACATGTGGCATAAGGAGGCAGCAGCACATGTGGCATAAGGAGGCAGCAGCACATGTGGCATAAGGAGGCAGCAGCACATGCCGTCCTCTCATAAGGGATCCTCCCATCCCAACTCACCCTTCACACATTGAGAACGAGATGTCTCTCCCAGTGGCCTCCAACGCATTGCGCATGGCTGTGTGGCTGACAGCGGTGATTGCCAGTCATGGGACGCTCACTCATCATTCACCCGTATTAGCCACTCACCCTTCACACATTGAGAACGAGATGTCTCTCCCAGTGGCCTCCAACGCATTGCGCATGGCCGTGTGGCTGAGGGTTGATCGATGGGCAGGAATGGGGGGCAGCACAAAATGAGATGGAGGGTTGATGATGCCAGCGAAGGATGAGACAGAAGGAAGGCAGGGGAGAGATACAGAGCCCCGACGTTAACACCAAGGACGGTATAAGAGCAGAATAAAATGCATGACAAACAGGTACTAGCAAAATACAGACGGAAGAATGAGGTGAAGTACCAGCAGACAGAAAAGGATGAAGGAAGGCAGGGGAGAGATACGGAGCCCCGGCGTTAACACCAAGGCATGGATGGTATAAGAGCAAAATAAAATGCATGGCAAACAGGTACAAGCAGAGAGAGGGGAGCAGAATACAGGAGGAAGAATGAGGTGAAGTACTAGCAGACAGAGGGGAGCAGATGACGAAAGAGAGGACGAGGTGAGTTGCCCGTCACGGGACGACAGTAGCGAGGCAGACAGGGCATACCCTGTCCGGGTGGGAGCTCCATCGCTGTCGCAGCTGTCGTATTTGAGATAGTCCACTCCCTGGCATCATCACATACGAACACAGTCACGGCAAGGCAGGGAACATGGGAGATAAGCCTTAGCCATCCTGCAAGGGTGGGAGCTCCATCGCTGCCGCAGCTGTCGTATTTGAGATAGTCCACTCCCTGGCATGGCACGCGAACACAGTCAGAGCAAGGCAGGAGAACATGGGCGATAAGCCTTAGCCATCTTGCAAGGGTGGGAGTTCCATCATTGTCGCAGCTGTCGTATTTGAGATAGTCCACTCCCTGGCATCGCACGGGAAGACAGTCACAGGAACACAGTTCACAGAATGACAGGCAAGATGTGGGGAGGCAGGCTCTGGCCACCATGCAGGTGTCACAGCAAGCAATGTCAGCTAAGTGCTACATGATGCAGCGGGGATTAACTCTGAGGTCATGTGGTGTTGGATTGGATCGGAACCAGGCAATGATTGGCCAAACAAGGGTGATCGCCTTACCTGTCATGCAAAGGCACATCCCTGCCAAAAAAAAAAAAAAAAAAAAAAAAAAAAAAAAAAAAAAAAAAAACAACAACAACAACAACAACAAACAAAAACAAAGGGCGATACTCGATCCAGCAGATTCAGCAACCTGAATCAGCCTCGTTCCTTCGTTCCTCACCCAGTCAGCAAAGGTGAGGGCGTCAACGTCCTCATGCCCGATTGACCCTGGCTTGCCGTTGCACGTGCGCCTCCTGATAAGAGAAGGACGATGGAAGGGGAGGGATCAGATGAAGAGGAATAGAGCAGAGGCGTGTGAATTTGAGATCAGCCTAAGTAAGCTTGCACACACAGGACTCACTCAATCTCTCTCACTCTCCCCCCCCCACGCCTCTCTCGCTCCGTCCTCCCCTTCCCCACCATGTCACCAGACCAGCCGTGCTCAGCACAACCACCTCCCCCCCAGCTCACCCAGCATCGGAGTAGAGCCCCAGCTTGAGCCCCTTGCTGTGCACATAGTCTGCTAGCGCCTTCATGCCCGATGGGAACGAGACCGGAGATGCCACCAGGCGACCCTGAACCATGGAAAGACATTGGAGAAAAGAGAGAGAGATATAAAGTTGACGTGCTGCCAAGATAGCATTGAGACGCCTCAGAAGATGGCATGAAGCCAAACAGTTCGTTGAGACACCACAGCATGCCATCAAGTGTAGCGTTGAGATTGAGACGTCGTAGGAGTTGGCATGACTCTCCCAATGGAGAGTAGACGTCTCAGAATTAACCATGCTTCCAAACGGAGGGTAAACACATGTAGCAAGGGCTAATGCTCCGTTGGAACTTGATTAGAGTGAATATAGCCGGAGTCGTTACCACCTTTAATCCAAGCACCCACCTTTGAATCTCTGGAGTCAGCTTGCCAGCAGTCATCTGCAAGGCAAGCAAGATTTCAAGAGAGGCAAGAAGCAAAATTGGTCTGGTCACCTTGTATGATGAAAACCAAACTGAAAAGAAAATGGCAGAACTGGCTGAAATTGTTGAATGAATTGTGGCTGAAGCAGGAAGCACACCACTGCAACAGCCCAGATGACACGAGCTTGTCAACTTGAAGTTTGCAGAGTGAGCAGGATGAAATAGGCAGATTGTACAGCTTTAGAAAACGGGTAGTACATGTGTCTCACCAATGTTGACATAGACGTAGCCAAGGGCCGCTAGCCCGGATGACACGAGCTTGTCCGCTGCAAGGCACAATCAACGAGTAGGGAGTGAGGACTGGTTTGCTTGGAGGCGTTCTGGAAAGAATGGCTGGCATGAGTGCTCTTGAATGAATGAATGAATTGCAAGTGCAGAATGAAAAGGAAGAGTCAAGTACTAGCTCCAAACACTACGAATACTAGTGGCACTAGTCTGCAGCCACTAGTCATGATGAATGAAGGTAGCATGGAAACAGCATTGAGGGAATAAGGGCATGGAGACCTTACCACGATCGGGAGTAGCAGTGTGGTGGCAGCCTCTCACTCACCTGCAGTCTTGACAATGTCCTGTGTGATATTGCACTGGAAGTGGTCACAGCTGCAGCATGGTGGCAAGGCAACCTCCGAGGTTGAGAGTCTCACCTGCAGTCTTGACAATGTCTTGTGTGACATTGCACTGGAAGTGGCTCCAGCTGTTCCATCTGCCACAGCAAGCCACACGGATGCCACAGCAAGCCACACGGACAGTACAAGCAAAAACAGAAAGCGGTAAGCTATCTCTGCATGAAAAATCGAAGAGATGAATGCCAAAGGTATGACTCATACAGGTAGTACTAGTGCTACCTTTTCCTGAGGTGTTCAAGTATTTACCCGAGCGGACTTGGGAAGGTCTTCTGGGTCTTGGGCACAGAAGCTTGGACCTGAGTCCGGGGCACGGTTCCTGGAAGGTCGAGCTTCTCTTTCCTTCCAACCTTGAGCACAGTGGGAACAGATGCCCCTCCGCTGATAGCGGAAGCTTGGTGGAAGACAACCGCGAGGCAGAAGCACATGGACACGAACCAGGCCTCCATTTTCCGATCAGACATAGTAGTGGCGCTGAACCAAGAAGCCCAGACGCGTGGGCAAGCACTGCTGGCAGCAGGCACCGGCAGGACTAACTGCCAGTTGCAGTTAGTAGCTCTGTCAAAGAAGCTACTAAGCTTTTCTGATTCTGGAATCCGCAGGAGTTTGCTGGACATTCCAAGAATGGGCAGTGTTGCTGCCTCGTTTCACAGAAGACTCTTCACGTCTTCCGGTAGGGAGCTAGCTAGCTGCCGGCCGGCAAAAAAGGACAGGCAGGTCCCACACATCATGCTGAGAGGTCACCTCTCTGTCATGATGACTCGTAGGCCTTCCTGTTGCCCACTGGGTTTAGAAAGGCATTTTTCATGTGCATATTCATGCCACGGGACATGCGTCGAGTAGCCTGCCTGGGCTGCTACGCGATTTTCTCTCATCGCGTGCATCTCATTCACTGAGAGCCAGTCCGGGACTGCCCAGAGCCTGGCAGGCTCTAAGAGCCTCAGAACGTCACGGCTTCTCTTTTTTTCACCAGGGACGGCTCTGAGAGCCTGCCAGGCTCTAGACAGTCGCAGTCTCTGGCTTTCGGTGGCTGAGACCTGTGAGATCAGGTCAGCTGCTGGCAGCAGTGCTCCACAGGACCACCGTGTTTGTCGTCTGCAGCACTGCATCATAGGGTTCAAGCCTTGACTGAGGCAAGTTGCCTCCCAGGCCTCCCAGTACCGCAGAAAATGAAGGAAGGAATCGAAGGGGTCGCAGGCCTGGTCGCACAGGTGGTCGCAGGCCTGGTCGCACAGGTGGTCGCAGGCCTGGTCGCCGCGTGACTTTCTCTCCGTCACGTCATGACGGTCATTTGGCATAGTATGGCGGTGGAGTATCGTGTGTGCTTCTAGAAGTTCACCCTGAGCAGACCTCGCTGATCGTCTGCTCCTGTGTGTGCTTTGTTCTGACACGGCGAGTCGTTCGCTCTATCCACCACATGATCTCCCGAAGATCATCAAAATGGGCCATCTTTGGGTGATCTGCAGGCCTGCCCAGTTGCATTGTAGTCTGTGGGCCGCCTTGATGTACAGTGTACAGTATGGAAGACTTTCCGCCCTGGAAAGTCTTCAACACTGTATACTGCTTGGATAAGAAGCCGAGCGAGAGCTAAAATGTTGAGAAACACGGACCTGCCGGCCAAAAGAGTCCCAGAGATAAATTATGGCGGCAATGGTCGACGGTTATGGAGGAACTTAGGGCGTACCTTTGATGACACAACTCACAAACTGAATGGACGACGGGCAACAACTGCACCCTGCACCAGAAAAATAGGACCTCTTCACAGTACCAGGCTTGAACTCGCCTGAATTCTTTGTTCATCCCGTGTTTTGGAGGTCGGTTGGTTGGAAACAAATGGTCCGCAAGTAGGGTTGGGTGGCGAAAGTATGGGAAGCATGTAACATTGCACTCAAGACAAAGGTTACACTTGGGTGGTGGAAAGGAAACAAAATGATCTCAACTCGGTTGGCAAATGATATTATAATGTGCACACGGATATACACTTTCTTTGAAATATTCAGACCCATAAATATGCAAGGCCGGCTATTATCACAAGGCTATTACCACAAGGCAGAAAAACCCAAGAACACCATACGGTGTCATATCCACCATTCACACCATTGGGAGAAGAGACACATGCCTTGAGGACCTACAAGCTGCTATGGCAAAACATTGCTGCTCCCGCTGGATTTTATTGTTTCAGATTGGCATCTGTTACAGGCCAGAGAACAAATAATTGCACACCATGGCTTGCAACTTGGGCGGTTAGCGCATTAGAGTTGGCAGAGTTAATAAGGGAGTCCTGCACCACACAACATGAACACCACGAGGAGCACACACATCGAGGAGCACACATATCGAGGAGCACACATATCGAGGAGCACACATATGAGAACAAACAAATTGTGCTGGATAAGTGCGATGGGTACGCATATCTGTGCATATGTCTGTGCGCATGTGCCTGCATGCACATGTCTAGAAAATGAGTGGTACATTAGGAGGGAGAGAGTGAAAGTTAGGAGAGAGAAGGAGACGCAGGGAAGTATAGAGACATGGTGCTTGCGGACAGTGCGGACACACATACCTTCCAAAGGTCTCGTGCATGCATCCGCTGCTCCGGATTCAGCCCAATTTCTTCCCAACTGATGGTCACATTCTCGCTCTTCCCACCACGGTTCACCAATGCCACCACTTTCCGACCCTCAGATAGAGACCCCACCCAGACCTGCAGGTTTGGGAACAGGTAGCACAAAATAGGGGCAAGAATCAAGCAGTGTGACTTCAAGGAAGATTATACAAGTCAGCTGAAATGAAAGATCTGGATCCAAGGCTGTCCCTCGACTCGCAAGGCATGACGTGCAATAAAGTGCAAGAGAGAGTTTAGTGTTCTCACCTTCACTGGGGATTCCTTGAATAGTTGCACCTCCTGTGCTTGCACTCCCAATGAATCTGCACCAATAGAATGCGGCACGTGTCAGCAAAATCCAAGAAGGTAACATGCATTCAATAACCAGACTTCCAGCTTGCTTGGGAGCGTACCTTGGTTGAGAGCAATGGCCTCGTCGGTGCTGAGAATGCTCATGGCTGGCTGTGATGCAGCAGAGAGAGCGCAGGCCGGCAGGAGTGGCGCCTGTGGGAAGGTGAGAAGGTGTGAGGTGAATGGGTAGGAGGCTGAGTTGGATGCAGCGCAGAAGGGATAGGAATGGCAAGCTGTACGTGTGCATACATGCATGGATAGGCATGCATACAGCCATGCAGGCACGTGTGCATGCATGTACCTACGTAAGCATGCAGGAGTGTGTCCTCACCTTCATGATGGCCCACAGATTGAAGTGCACATGGTGCCCTGTCTCGCCCATGCCGCCCTCTGCCACTTGAAGAATGTCCAGGTCTGATGAAGGAGGGCGATCAATAGTGGCGGTGGGGAAGGAGAAGAGATGAGTGGGGGGTGAGGTGAGAGAGCGTACAACACATGTCTCACAACACTTGCAACGCCATGCTACACTGGCAGGCCCTAAGAAGTCAACGCGAGTGTGTGGCTGCACGCACCATTCCAGCTGCGAGGGTCGGCATATTTAGCCCACTTGTTGCTTGCATCCGAAACCCAAGTCACGCTCCTCCACGTGTCATCAGTGCCAAGGGTGGTGCGCCAGGGATCTGCCAACCCGTACGCCCACAGAGCAGAGCTGTCCTGTCCGTGGCACATGGAGACCGAGATGTCTCTCCCAGTGGCCTCCAACGCGTTGCGCATGGCCGTGTGGCTGAGGGTTGATGGATGGGCATCCGACAGCAAAGGGATGGGATGGGAGGAAAAATTAAGTACAAGGCATGTACGGTGTATGAGCACAAGAAAATGCAAGGCTGAAAGTACCAAGCAGTAGAAAAAGGCGACCAGAAGGCACACAGACGAATAGGCAACGTACAAGAATACAGAGGGGACCAGAAGACAGTAGAAAGAAGGCAGTCAGGAGCGAGTCAGACAGGGCTTACCCTCTCTTGGTGGTAGTTCCATCGTTGTAGCAGCTGTCGTATTTGACATAGTCCACTCCCTGGCATCACATTGGAACAAAATCACAGCAAGGCAGGCAGATGTGAGAAGGCAGGAATGGGAGGCGGAGAAGACAGGAATAAGTCACCTGTCGTGCAAAGGCACATCCCTATCAGCCTATTCAGCATACACAAGCGCTACTCCATCCAGCAGATTCAGCAAGCGGATTCAGCCTCGTGACTCACCCATTCAGCGAAGGTGAGGGCGTCAATCGCCTCATGCCCGAGTGACCCTGGCTTGCCTGCACACGTGCGCTTCCTGATGGGAGAAGGACAGTGAAGTGAGAGGGAGGGGGAGTAGAGCAGCAGAGGCATGCGGATTTGAGAAGAGCGTTTTTAAGCATGCACAGCACGCACTCTCTTAAGCTCTCTCCCCCCCGTTCCCTCGGCCCCATTATCATCACAAGCCGTGCTCATCTCAGCTCCACTCCACACACCGACTCACCCGGAGTCGGAGTAGAGACCCAGCTTGAGCCCCTTGCTGTGCACATAGTCTGCTAGCGCCTTGATGCCGGAAGGGAAGGAAACCGGAGATGCCACCAGGCGACCCTGAGAATCTCTAGAGTCGGCTTGCCAGCAATCATCTGCAAGATCAAAGCCGGAAGAAAGATTGGTCAGAAGAGCCCCTTCGCCTCGCCTGAGGCGACACCTTGTAGTCCAAGACGCCAAACTCCTACAGTGCAGGAAGCACGCACTGACACGAGCTTATCAAAGCTGCAGAATGCAGAGTGTTCAGGATTAAAAAAAAAGGTAGACGTGTCTCACCTATGTTGACGTGGACGTAGCCCAGGGCCGCTAGCCCAGATGACACGAGCTTGTCCGCTGCAGGGCACAACAAGCATACGAACAGGGAGTGAGAACAGACGGCGTGCTGTCATAATGGCTCGCGGCATGGACTGCCGTTGGATGGAGCCTTTGACATGATGATCATGCTCGGGAGTACCTGCAGTATCATGGTGGCATTCATGGTGGCATTCTCACCTGCAGTCTTGACAATGTCTTGTGTGACATTGCACTGGAAGTGGCTCCAGCTGTTCCACCTGCCACAGCAAGCCACACGGATGCCACAGCATGGCAAGCACAACAGCGGTGGGTAAGCAAATCTTGCTTAAACAAGAAAGAAAGAAAGAAAGAAAGAAAGAAAGGCAGGTAAGTAATGTGGGACAGGGCTCATGAAATAGATATTCAAGTCTTACCCGAGCGGGCTTCGGAAGGTCTTCTGTGTCTTCAAGGTGCCCAAGTTGGGCAAGGTCCCAGGAAGGTCGAATTTCTCTTTTCTTCCAACCTTCAGCACAGTGAGAACAGATGCCCCTCCGCTGATAGCGGAAGCTTGGTGGAAGACAACCGCGAGGCAGAAGCACATGGACAGAAACCAGACCTCCATTTTACGATCAGACATGGTGGCACCGAAGGTAAACAGCTGGCACTGGCAACCACAGTCACTGGTAGTACTCGTAGCTTTGTTCAGATAAGGTAGTAAGCTTTCTGAGCCTGGAATCCGCATAAGTTTGCTGACATCCCGGGAATGACAGCTCCTTCATATACAAAAGACTCTTCATGCCTTCTGGGACTCAGAGGCAGCTAGTTGCCGGCCAGCAAGGGTGACGGGCTTGATGTCCGAGTCGGACATATCCTCCCACACATGCCTGAGAGGTCACGTCACGACTCACGAGTCAGATGCTTGACTATCCTTCGCTGTGCGGCATATTTATCCATATGCACAACTTGCCAGGGCCTGCTCGTCTGCTGCACCACGACTTGCATGGTCATTCTTGCCAAGAATGGGATATTTGTTTTATACGCGTCAGAAAGAATGGGATTCACGGCTAGTGGTGGTGATTAGCCGGGGAGCCTGGCACTGCTAGCGGTCAAGCTCGAGCCTCAGATCGTCTGCTTCCGGAAGCCCAGTCGTGCGGGTCCAGCCAAGCTCTCCTACCGCGGCGTTTTTCGTCTGCATCCACCAGGGTTCGCGAGTCAAGCGCTTTGCACCGCGCGGTGCACCTCTGCGCAGAAAAATCGGAAAACGTAGGAGAGCTTCTTTAGAAACAGTAGTAATTTTCCAGCCACTGAAAGAAAATGTAGTACAGTATAGTCTCCAGAAAAAACAAGGGAACTGTCGTACACTGCACGACTATTTTCCGTCAATCATGGCGGTCATGCGAATCGCGCTGGCAAATTCCAACTCCCCTCCCCCATCCCATCACAGTCCCAGAGTGCTGCGGTGTTTGCTTGCCGTGTTGGCCTGCAGGTCTCGTTGATCGGCCGCTGCTGTGTTTGCTTCTTTCTTTCCATCGTGTGCTGTGCATCTTTGGGTGATATGCAGGCCTGCCAAGTTGCATCTGTCTTTGCTGAGCTGTACGGTCTATGGAAGTCTTCCCGCGTAGGATGCTTCCGAAGAAAGCTAGCGAGAACTGAACTTCATTTTGAAACCTCCAGAAACATGGATACTACTGATGCCGTCGTGTGGATCTTTGAAACCCTAGACTTCCCTCATCTGCTTGCTTGCATTGGTCACATGGCTACTTGATTGCCTGGTCAGGTCACCTGCTACACCATCCGTGGTGAATTTTCTTTGGCGGCCTGTCAGCCCGTCAGTCAGGCTCGGAGCCCCTGCTGTCCTTTTTTTGTCACGGAGAGTCGCGCAGGTCCGATCAACAGAGCTCCAACCTACACTGGGGTTGGCAATACCGTGTTTTTCCGTCTGCATCTGGGGTTCTAGTCAAGCGCTTTGCACCGCTGGAAAAAAGAAATACAGTGAACGAGAAACGAAGGGGCACTTGTTCTCCAGTCTCCAGCCAAGAAAGGGTACAGTTGCGCAGTCGCTCTCAGGTTTTGTTTTGCTTCGAACAAGAACTTGTGCTGTGAAATCATGACGTCAGCAAGTAAACCGCAGCTTCGAAATCGCCCTGGCAAACTCTGCACTCAAATCTGACCTGAAAGTGTCTTGGGGCTTGTTTCGGGAGGGTGAGAGTACGCAGTGGTGTGTGTGCTTATGTCTGATGTGATGAGTGATGTGTGATGTGTGCATCTAGATTCTAGAAGAGTGGATGCAGGCCTGCCTAGTTGCGTTTTTTTGTTTGGTTGAAACGACCTGAAATCTGGGATTTAACGAGATTCTTGAGAAACACGGCTATCACCCGGTCTTGTTTGAAAGTATATGGATTCGTTCAAACAAACCCGCATTTATAGGGGCCTTATATAGTCTAGGCCCTACGGTGGATTCGTTTCACTTTGAGCAGCCTTTGGTCTGGGAAACGGCTAAGTGCGTCCCTCCGGTGCTCGTTTTGATCCGAAATTCCGCACTGCAGTGCTGGATTTCTAGTGCGACGAGCGCGGTGAGTCCGCGGCGGCAGTTAAAGCCGTGGCCCAACTATCAGCTTCAACTTCGAAGTATTATAGCTTGGAACTTGGTTGTCCCAGGCAGTTCTGTGGCGAGAAGTTTGTCTTTTCCGAGATTCCATTTTTTTCATCCAATAAGGGTCTCGTTACGCACACTCCATGTTTGTCCTGCTACTGTTCCTAAGAAGTTGCACCCTTGCCTTTAAGCAGTAACCCACTCTACTGAACAATGGAGCAGGCCCAGCCCAATTTTCGCTGAAAGGACAAGCGGTCAGTCAAGCGGTCAGACGAATTTCACGGAAATCATGGTTCAGCGGTGCAACCACTTGCCAACGCACAGCGCAGCCCCTTCAATAAGAGGCTACACTTGGATAAGGTTAAAGGCTGTACAAGTCAATTGGATCATAAGCACGTACAAAAATAATAAGAGCAGTTTGAAAATGGCTAGCAAGCCAACCTCCTACAGTGTGGGTTTTAAAACTTATAATTTGTGATTAAATGGATTAATGGCCTTGAAGTTAATGACAGGAGCCATGGTGGAGAGGTAAGCTGAAGCATGCCAGAGGTGATCATCATGTGCTTTCAAATCTCTCTAAAATCCAGGAAATTCAAATTGAAGTTTCAAAACCTTGACTTTGCTGCAGCAGAGCTGGATAATTGGTCCATACACAAATTTCTGTACATACAGCGAAGCTACCGGTCATGGATAATAGCTGCATCTTCCTCTCTCACTGCAGCGCGGAAACTTTCTTCCAAGCAGGGCGAGAGGAAATCCTCTCCCACCACGCATTCACATTCGGACGTGAAGTTATCAGACCCGAATCCCCTGACGCCCACAGCAGAGCCGTGTAGGGCAGGTGCGACAGATCCGCCAGCGAGAAATTGGACCCCGCCAGGTACTCGTTGCTGGCCAGATGGGCTTCGTACACATCGAGAACCTTAGAGAGCTGCGGGAATGGGGGGAGAACAGGCAGAAAGAAGGCAGAAGTAGATTGCTTGAACGACAGTCGCAACACACCATTTCTGTCGGATCAAACCCGAAAGCCAGAAATTCCACCCCGCCAGGTACTCGTTGCTCGCCTAATGGGCTTCTTACACATCAAGTACCTTCGAGAACTGCGGAATTAGCGGAATTACTGAAGAGCAGGCGGAAAGTGGACAGAAATAGATTGCTTGAACGGCATTCTCACTGCAAAGGGCTATTTTCCATCCACCGAATAGAACCAGAAAGAGGACAAAAATAGATTGCTTGACTGTTCTCGTCACCTACCTTCGCCTTGAGGTCTTCAGCCTTAGTCAGGTCAGGCTCGCCGCCACCGAACATGGGCTTGAACACTTTCTCCGAGATCAGCGCTGAGAGAGGCGGGTTGTAGTTCTGCGCCTCCACCTCCAACCACTGGTTCACCAGCGCACGCTCCTGTGGGACACGGTAACACACAGCAGACGCCACTTAAAAAAGGTTCTCGAGAAATGTCAAGCATCTACAACGTAAAATTATAAGCCTCCACCCACTGATTCACCAACGGACGTTATTACACGACAACACTCAGAAAGGTGAATTCTTTTATTGAATTAACAGACACGCGTGGAGGCGACCATCACTGCCGGTAGCAACTAGCAGGCGTCCAGGAGTGGACTAAAGAGTGGATGAGTGATTACCTTGAGCGTGGAGCCGACAAGGTCGGTGCCTTGGCCGGAATTCTTCTCAGCGATGTAACGAGCGATGGCACGTGATTCTGGTTAGACCATGGGAAAAGACATTCAGGTGAACACAATGACATTTGAGCAAAGATTCAGTATAGATGTGGAAAATAGGAAGAGGAACATATGAGCAGGAAAACCAATAGGGAAAATGGATATGGCTGAATAGACGGTGGAAAGAAACGGTGGAATTGCAAACGTACCGAAGATCTGAACCTCCCCGTCATCGAAATAGGGAATCACTCCAAAGGGCTGCGCGGTAACAGGGCCAAGGAGAGAAACGCACGGAGGCAAAACCGGGCCACACGTTGAGTTTTCAAAGAAACGCGTGGATGGTGTGAAACAAGCTGAATTCGACGCTGGTGTACAAAGGGAAGGACTCCACGGTGGCATTTGCGTGATAGCAAAAAGGATTTTGCATTTGCATTTGTGCAGAATATCAGAATGAAAATGTTGAATCTCGCCCACCTGCTTCTTCTTGAACTCTTCCGACTTGTGTTCCCCTTTCCCGAGATCCACTGGGACAACCTCGTAATCCTGCGGAAAGGAAGAAAAGGCATTGCTTGATTATCAGATTAAGAAAAGGCCGGCAGCTGGAACGACATCAGCTGGAAAAAAGAAACCGACGTTTCTATTATTTTAATAACTAGCCAATTCGTACCGTAACAGCCTTCTCCTCGAGAGTGGTGAGCACCCTCTTGGTGCACGTCGACATGTTCATGCCGTAGACCTTGACAGGAGCCATGATGTCAGCGGCGAGAGCGGTGATCACGGAGATACTAAAGTAAGCAGAACGATGCGAGAATGAAGACTAGGCTGAAGGGAGGTTACTCTATAAAGCTTGTCAGACGCTTGACTGCGAAACATAACCGCCATGGCGCTGTAAATACCCCCAGCTGCAAGGTACACGCGCTCCGGGCTAGACTTAGATTGAATAGGAAGCGGAGTAATCAGGAAAGAAACTCAAACGTTCGGAGTTTAGGAGGTTCTGGAAAGAAACTCAGGCTGCTTCGATGACGCTTCTGCCTGCTGACAGAAGCTTACCTGTGCGAGAAACACCTGTGCGAAAAAATATGTGCGTAGCACACCAGTGCGAAGGACATCTATGCGAAGAACATTTGAGTGAAGATGAACGGAGGAGGTCGAACCTTCAGGAAAGACACAGAGCCTTCCACGAATCTGCGACATTTGGGAGCCCACATGACGTCAGTTCTCGTGTTATGAGTTGTAAAAGAGAGTGCGCAGGTAAACGAATAACGAGAATGTGATTAACTGAACTGAGAATACAATGAAGGCACAGACTAATGTAGGAGCTAGCCTAGCTAGGAGGAAACCTCGGACGAG